TTTATTGTCATTCATAAGCCTCCTCTGGTATTATACACATCGGGGGCTGTCCCTGTTTAATATATGTTAATATATCATTGGTCGTTTATTTCGAGTACCAAAGTTCCCTATCTCATTCTCTCTCACATTCGTTTCGCCTACAATAACTGCAGGCCCCGCCAAGTGTGCTGGAATAGCTGATATCACACACCGTAGAGAGTGGCGGCTAAAGAAAAATCGACACTATAAAATATAAAAGATAAACATTCTCAGGTTTCGGCGTGTACGACTTACAAAGGGGGGGTTCGCATAACATTATGGCGGATCTAGGGTCATAATATAAGATTATATTGTGTTCCACAGTCGCTATACCTATAGGCAGTGGATGCATTTATCGACGGAGGATTCAAGTCCACAAAATTATACATTGCCCGACTGTGACTAATACAATATAATATTGACATTGATTAAGTACACCGGTACCGGATTAACTATATGAGAATGTAACGCTTTGCATATTTTGCTTTTGCTCAAAGAATAATAATAATATTACCCCATGCCGATAGAAATTCAACTGAAACGCAATAAAACCGTGTTGGCAAACAATTCGCTACCCTTTGTCTCAGGACTTGCTGTATTTTTCTACCCTCGTGCATATATTATATTATGAATATTTTTGACATTCTCACACTACATATACTAAAGTTGAAAACTTTTTACTAGAAAATTCCACTTTACCCTAGAAAAGTAATGTCAAATTTCACGGTGTCCTTCCATCCGAAAATGCAATATTTTACTATACGGTTTAAATAGTTTCTTTTATTTTCAAACCGACCGGAATGACATTCGTTTCTCCACATAGAAAAACAACCGAAAAAGTATTTTTTTTTATGAAGTTCACAAAACCTAGATATATATAAAAAGTATTCGTTATTTTTTGTCGAATAAGTTTTGCCATTTATTTGGATACTGTTTGACGTTTTACCCTCAATGAAAACGAATACACTAAATTCTCGGTAGATTTCTACGTACAAGCGTTGAACATAATATAATATAATATGTTTAATTGAATTTTTAAATCAACAATAATTAACTGGAAATTTTCACCGGTCGATAACCAATTTTGAATAATTATGTTTAAAGTTTTTTAAGTACTTAACTTTAGTTAACTAAGGACGGTTGGTGGAATGAAGCAGATAAAAATAACCCTTATCTCTACCCTTCCACCCGTCTTGATCACCCTGTATTACGTGATTTTGGGTTATTTTTTATGCAGTTAGTTTTTTAAAATTTTATTTCTCGTCTTACGGACACACATTTCAAAGTCACGGTGAAGACGTGCCACGGCTGTGAAGTCACATCGTTGAAGACATTGTGTGTATGTGTGTGGTTTTATTTTTCACTTTTTCCTGCAGTTATTCCGGCACGTCCGCAATTGCCGGCGCAAAAGGCATTGCGATGGTCGTAAAAAAGGAATTTTACAGTTTTTCATATCAGTGTACACGTTACAATGTATAATATGTCTTATATATATGTATGAAGATAAGTTTACGCGGTCAATGATGTACGAAAGAAGACGAAAAATCTTAAGGGCGTGTACGGTTTGAATTGTAGGCGTTGTGCTGTAAAGTAAAAAATAAAAAAAATACAAATAATAATAATAATGTCTAGTGTAGTGGGTGTGGTCTTAAAGAGGTACACGGCATTATACAAACGCATAACCGCTTTAAGACCGATCGAGTCCACGTCGTCTACAACACCCCCACATCTATTATGTATTATATTTTCTGTTGCGTACACCCTCCCGTATTCGCCTCTGACCGTACGGGGGGGGGGGGTCATCCCCATCTGTGCGGGGGTGTCTTCTGGTTTTGAAAATATATCCGCATCTTTGACACCACGGCCAGGTGGGGGTGGTGCCGGTATAAGACACGAGCATCTGACACGAGCCCGGCTAGACCGACTTGTGTGTCGGTAGTCGAGTTTCGAGCATGGACCAGTGGATTACCTACCAATATCCGGACGGGTATAGCTACTACACCAACAACAACTGCGACACTTTCAATAATCATTACTACACTAACGATAACAACGGCTATAACAGCTACGATTATACCAATGCCGACACTTACCGGTACTACGAGGTAAAGCACACACACACACACACACACGCAGTAGCTTATAAATTCTCTAAAACAGTATATTGTAATATTATAATAATATGTTACATTTATCCAATAGGCATAATTAGTATAAACAAAATACATATATTAGCGTAGATCTTAATTTGCTCTGTTAATTTGTTTTTTGTAAGCCTTTATTCGTATGTAGTTAAAGCGTTGTACAACTATATGAACAAACTCACAATTTTGAAAATTACCGCTGTACCTATTACTATGTAGTTATATCATTTTAATTATAGTATATTATTATTATTGTAGTACAGTAAAGTACCGATTGAAATTATAGCTGTTTAGCTTTACACAAACTTAGATTTGAATAAACTGCTGTATGAAAAAATGTTTGTATTTCATTTAATTCTACTGCTGCTGCTGCTGCATTTTGAAGAGTTCAACGGCCCCATATGAGTTAATTGAGCCGTGTATGCTGTATATTCAGCTATGAGTGGGTTCCTGCAATTAAATTATAAATGTTTATTGACTGTTTGCTTCAACTGTAAATTGTTATGTTAATAACTCTCGAGTTCATTTTTCATTAAAAACCAATTTATTAATGTATATTGTCGATGAGAGTATAGTTCATATTCGTTCTGAACACAGTTGCCAACAAATAAAAATCTGTCTACACATTAAACCCGGTCATGAAAAAATGTAAATTTAGTTTACTTGGCCGGAAGTGGAAGTGGAAGTTTGTTTTCCTACTTCCGACCTAGTAAGTATATAGCGCTTGTTATAATATAGGAATCTACGGCAGGAAAACAAACTTCGACTTCCGGCCAAGTAAACTTAATTTACATTTTTTCACGACCGGTTTAATATATAGACAGATATTTTTAATTGTTGGCAACGATGGACTTCTAAAAACGTCAATGAAGAATTTAATTTATATTTTAATCATAAACGCCTCGATAATTTGTTGCTTCAAATAAGGCCAACAATTACTTCTATAAGTTTGCTAGTTCAACTGGTATCTCAGTGGTAAAAAACAGTAATAATTTAATATACATATGTCATATATTGTGCACTATTTAATAAATTGAATCGATTATTTATGAAAGGGGTTTATACCAAAAAAGTTACTTTTTTTTTAAATTCTTGTGCACTATACTTAATACAATTATTTGTGTACATCCATTTTTCAAATTTATTTTATACGGCCACAGCGCATATTTATTAAAAAAAAAAATAATAATAATTTCCAACAAAATTGTGACTTATTGCGTTTCATAAATAAACGATTATTATTTCGGCTACGCCGAGCAAAGCTTAAGTATATCATATATAAAGACCACATAATAAATAACAGCTTTGGAGCAACGTGCACAAAGTTTTACAAGGTATTTAGATTGGAATCGCTTTGTATTTTTAAAAAACTAATCGAATCGAGCCAACGTGTTTTACTACTATGTAACTACTTGTTTGAATGCGAACCCAGTCGTTGCTTATAGTAAAACGTTTTGGTTTTGGACACGTTTTTCTTGCCGTTTACGTGCTCCGGTGGGGGGTGGTTTTCGTTATTTTACTTCGAATTGCGACTTGCCCTGTGTGTACACTTTGTGCCCAGCAATACCCTCCTAACCGTGACCCTTTCATTTGCCGTGTCGAACTCCAGAGGCGCAAAGGCCGGGACGGGGAGGAGAGCTTTTTGGCCGGGCGACTATTGAATTAAAACCTTTGCGTTCATTGTCGTCGAAATCCAATTAGCCTGTGTTCCTGCGGGGGCAAATAGCAGGTTTTTAATGCAAGCCGAGGGGGGGTGGGGGGGTGGGATAGCTGATTGTTTTTTCGACGGGCTTTCAGAATAATAATTTAATTTCGATTTAAACGCAACGACGACGACGACGGACGACGGCGTTTAGTCGTTTTGGAGAGCGCAGTTTTGCAATGTTTAAATGTATAATGTAAACTCTCGTTTACTTTGGAAAAAAAACTAAATGTCTTAAACGAAATAAAAACTAATTTAAAAATACTTGCTCGCGTCGAGTATTTTTTTTTTTTAGTTTCGATAAATTAATTATGTGACGCCCGATAAGACGCACGATTCCCCAAAAAGCAATACTCATCGTTTGTGTAGGTTTTTGTACAAAATAAATCCGTGTTATATTTATACATAAATGCTGCTGGAGTTTTATTCATTCATTGTTGTACTGAAACTTAGAGACCACGATGCAATAATTGTCGAGCGGCCTTTGGCGAATAAAAATTGTACATTTTTTCTATTTTAACCTTACCGGCGGTGAAGGCTTTTAGAGTTTATTGGTTTTGGAACAATAAATCCCCCTTTTCATATTATCATCACTCGACGCGACGCTTATGTACTTTGCGTGATGGAAAACGGTTTTAATTAATTTTTACACCGGTGTTTAAACGAAAGGTGGGACGTTTTCACACAACATAATACTATTATACTTATTTCACCGCTATAAATATTAATTACCATTTGCAAAATAAAAAAGGCGACTCTCGCTCTATCTTATATCAATATCAATATCAAATATTGTATTCCGAGTGATTGGTTAACCATGGCCTAGTCGATAACTATTGTTTTTTTTATTCATTTATCGGTTATTAGATGGGGAAAATTTGATGTATTTTTAAAAACTATAACCCTCTCACTTATATGGTAAAACCGTATGAGCTTAAGTTTTAACATATAATAAGTGAAGGGGTTATATTTTTCAAAAGTATATTAAATTTGCCCTAATTAATAACTATAAATGTAAGTATAAAAAAAACCTCTAATACCTTCCAAGTTATTGATCGGGCCATAATTGACCAATCGGCCGGTATAAGTTTTGCAGATAAAATATTATCATTATTTTTTTGTGTTTTTTTTTTCAGAATGCAAACCAATGTAATACCACCGATGCGACGTCCAGCAAACAGCAAAACGCACAAACCACATTAGCTATAGGCGTCGTGCCGATAAAACCAGAGCAGAAACCCGTGGAATGTAACTTGTGTCATAGAAAATTCAAAAACGTACCAGCCCTCAACGGACACATGAGGCTTCACGGTGGTTACTTTAAAAAGGTAAGGGTACAATACAAATTTGTGGAAAACTCTGATCACATTATAGAAAAAATGTAATTATTAACTAAACCCATTGGGACATTATTGGCTGGCTCGTGATAAAAAAAATTCACCCTGTATGTACCTACTGCACAATGGCACGGATCATGACACAGTTTTATACTGTATAATAATATGTAGGTACAATTTTTTTTTTGTGATTTCCCTCCTGGCTTTTTAAATGCATATATACATAGAGAGCTATATTATGTACCCACATGAATTTATATACGGTCTCTAATTATACGAGCCCGACAAAGAGGGGACGGATATTTTTTTTTACACTATCGATTTTTCATTGGAATTTGAGCAGGCCTCTCTCTTGTACGTGTGTGTGTGTTTCACACTAATTAACGCGAGCAGTTGGAATTTTAACCAATTATCTCGACTAATTCGGAAATCCCGAAAGGTTTAACGAGACGGGGGCAATAAGGGAGAATGATGGCCGGTTTAGAAACGAAGGGGGCAACGAGAGGTAAACATCCGAATCGAGTTTTTCATTTAAAAGGTTTTGTACATTCCTGGGTCGGATTGGCCACCACGGCGGGGCTTTCATCCCGGCAATAGCCGTAGTAGTAGTAGTAGTATAGCGGTGTTCAAGGGGAGAGAATATATACCTATATAGAGACACAAGACAAAAGAGCTCTACGATACCTATACCGTTCCCAAAAGAGATTATCGGGATCGACTTGAAACAGGGATATTGTTTCTACACGTTTATTGTGTGATGTGTATGTGCAGCCGAACAATAACCCGGCTCGGAAAACGGAAAATATGTTCTATTTCCGTTTTCAATTACAGATTATTATAAAATCCATTTTCCCAGATCATTATTGTGTGTGTGTAATTAGCTCATTCGATAAACGGCACACGGTGTCTAGACACGCCACACATAAGCCGAGTTGGGCATCATTCAACCCGTACAGTTGTTCTCCGTCAAAGGAGAAAATGTCGACCGTGTGATTACCGAGGCTTTTCATCAGATAATAGTGTATGTAAATTCCCGTGCCCGCCGTTGATACAATATGTATATGTACTTCAAAGGATATATTATAATTATAACATTATCTCCGTTCAATGATTACAATGACATTATCGTCTGCTTTACACACAATATATTTATATATTATCATATATCATTCATAAAGTGGTGCCTACTGCACAAGGTCTGTCCGAAAATGAATAATTGTATTAATTTATTTATTTAACAATTCGTGTACACCTATTAATAGTATAATAATATGATATACTGTTCTGTTTCACGACAAGGTCATATCTTAACGGGCTGGTATTATTTTTGTCTGTACACAAATTGTGTTTGGCACTATTTCCTTTTCACTTTCTTTTGGCCATCTTTTACAATGCGTGAGTTCGTGGCTAGTGTTCTCGTCGAACCTAATAATTGGCAACGGGCAATGCATTTTTGAAGTTTGAAAGGTCCACAGTAAAACGATCACCGAGTATTGATTTTCATTTGTTTTCAACGGGCAATAGGTACTTTGGTTTATTTTTGTTGGCGTTTAAAAAGTATGCCAAGTAGGTGTCGAATGAAAATGCAATACAAAAATGTCTACTTCTCCAGTCTAGGAATATATATTTTATAAAAATAGCATTCACTGGCTTACTGAAGTCAGCAAAACGTGGCCCGTTAGTGTTTTGCTGTTCTCAAACTTATACGCTGTTTAATAAGATTATTATAGTAGTTTACTGTTTTACAGAGTTCCACGACAAACTCAAAATTCACAGAACATAACATGATATTATAAGATTATTTTCTGAGAACGTTACAGCTTATAACTTTTAAATGTATTTCTTCCCAGAACGTTATAACTTATAATGAATATTGTTGTACAGTGATATGCCTAGAAATGTCCATGTCAATATTGATTCAGTATCAATTTCAAAAACCACAACCTACTATCTACTTTAGTACTTTGAAGTGTGATTTTCATTTTTAAACGTACAACGTTTCTCCTAGTTTTAATTTTGAACCAAACAAATAAATATAACGGTTGACGGCACCCCGCTGTTTTGTTTAGTTCATTAATAATTTTTTAGAGGTCGGTGTTTAAACAAAAAAAAATTTAATAAATGTAAACGTGTTGATATTGTAATTAAATCTAAAAAAAAATAACGTTTTTAATTTACTGCGATGGAAATATGAAAATTAAATCGGTACACATTTATTCGTTTTCTATCAATTTCGGGCCAAAAAGTTTTTCGTTTCTATGTAAATATTAATTTTTTGATTTCCACAACGATTCAATTCATACCCATAGAAAAATATATATATTATAAACTGTGTACAATTTGACAGCGTTTATTCATTTATTCGGAATGCTAATTATAATTATTATTATTTAATCAGTTAGCAGAGAGAGTTCAATGCGGGCACAATAGAGAGAATTCTGAGGTCAAAATCTTATACAGTATATTATTTCCGTTTAAAAAGATTTATATAAGAAACTCGACGCACGCGGGGGGCTTCCTGCGGGGGGGGGGCGTGTAACGAGTAACTCTGAAAACCAATTTGAATAATTCCCATGAAAACCGGAAACGCTCTATACAAAGAAACGGATATTTACATTGAATACCCAATCAAACCTTTTCATATTTGCACTGTCGTAAACAGCAGCACCGTACAAATCACTTTGCCCCGTTTCTCAGGTTTTCTTCAAACGGGGAAACATCAATATTCGCCTTTGATCTCTCTCGGTATATTATATAGAGAGAGAGAGACACTGAACTGTATTAAAAACACAAGAGTGTATTTTTTTTTCTTCTCTCTATTTTGCTCGTTTCTTATATTGTTTCACCCCGTTCCTTTTGTTTTCTCAAAAACAATTATTCACCTCCCGAGCAGAGAAGGTTTTGTTTAATAATTTATGTCGTCGTACCGCCATCGTGTGGAGTTAAATAGGAGATATTGCCGTCATATTACATTGCCCTGTTTCCTTTTTATATTAAATTATAATAATGCGTAGTTAGGGCAACAGAAAAGTTGCAAACTGCAATGAAAAAATGTGTGTTATATTTTTTTAAATTAAATTACCAAATAAACGACGGCGTTCACTATATAATATTCGTTCTCTTTTTTGGGAAAAAAAAAACAAATAAATACAGTGGGCTCGGTATCGTTTTTTTTAATTTTAGTAATGTGTGAGCATATACACCGGAGACGCCAAAGGCCATATTATTTTGTCGCATTGTTTTCTTTATCCGTCGAATACATTTCTAAATTAATTTACTTTTTCATTCTATCTTCCTTCGTACGGTGCAACCTTCATTCCAAAAGTCTTCCGTTTATTGTTGGGTTACAACAGTAGTTCGAAGAAGGCTGCGCTTTAGAGACGTACCCGGAACGTTTGTACTCTATCTATTGGACATTTTCAAAATAAAATCATCATCAGATATATATATATTTTTCTTTTATACTTAGCCTCGTGCATTACTTTCAAAACTTCTTTAAGCAGAACCTGTAGCTGCTTGCCTTGTATAGTTTTTTTTTCGTTTTTATACTACTTTTAGTCATATTTATGTTTCTATATATGTATGAGAGGCTCTACTCGCCACCAACAGCAATATTACACCATTATTCGTTTTCCATTAAATATAAAACTTACAGAAAAAAAATGAATATCCTTTTTGTAAATTAACGCTGTAATATTAACCACTCCACCAAGTCGGTTAGGAAACAAAACAATATTTATCGTAAATATGTTGTACGTTCTGTTATTGCATAAAGGGCCACAGTATTATAATTGTAAGTTATAGCTTTAATTAACAATTCTAAAATACATATTAAACTCAATACACTGTATTATTATAGCCGCCTGTATTGTATAGTTTTTTCCAGAGTTACAGACAAATAAAATATAGTCCGCTGGGTTAATAGAATTTATTTTAATTGTAGCATTGCTTCTATTTACAATATATACACATCATATGATATTACACTCATTTACTTGACTAGCAATTAATTACTATCGAGAAAAAGTCTTTTATACCCAATTTTTTTAATGAATTTTCGCTCACGGCGTTATTTTTTATTATTTTTTTTTTTCAATATTTTAGCGGTAATTTATTTATGATATTCATACTTTTAGTGTACACGGGGTACTCCGAGCCTTGTTAAATATTTACGAGTCTGTGATATTAAAACCGATTGCCGAACTTTGTGATCAACACAGACTGGTTTACGATTTATAACGTAGCACACGGTGCTGTAATTAAAAAAAAAAAGTAATGACAAAGGGCAGAGACAATGTAAAAGGTAACAAAAACAAAACAAAAAAAGATTTATATATATATATATATATATTTGTATAACTCACATTGTTTGCAAAAACATTAAGGGCAGTATCAAAAAATTAAAATGCCAAACAGACGTCGCGTACCGACAAAAGTTTTTGGTGTTTCGATAAAAATGTGAACAATAAATTCAGTAAAAAAAAAAAAAAAACCATTCAGCGCAGTTTTTTAATTTTTTTTTTAGCTTTACATTGTTAAATTATTATTATCCCTTAAAGTTTCGTGTTTGCATACAACATAATAATGTACCTATGCTTTAGTTGGATATTAGTTGCCGATCCGGTATTTATTGAGCAAAGTTGTTGTGAGCCAGTGTTATCGTTTACATAATGCTTGTTCTATCAGACATACACTGAGAAGTCCCATGGCGGAGTAACGATTTTCGACAACTTAAGGAATAACTCGGTTTAATCATACATTGCTTATGTGCCAACAATTGTTGTATTGGGTTTACTTGGGTCATTATTTAGCTGATAAATTACTAAGTAAAGTAAGTAAGCGTTTCAGAAGTTCTGTATTCATTATAGACACTAAAAACGGTGATTCCGTTAATTGTCTCACGTGCCAATCTTATTATTATTTATTGAGTTTTCAACATTTATAATTAAAAAAATCCTCTAAAAATATTGAAAAAAGCAACCTTATAGGCCTTTTTTGAAATATGTATATTATACTGTTTTAAATGCCTTATCTGGTGATTAAAAACGTTTAAAACAATTTAATTCCGGACAATAGCGTATGTCTAAAAAATAATCCAAATCAAACCGATCCGACCGCAAAACAAATCCGTTTGTTTTATCCGCACAAATCACTTTTTGTATACAAACCGTAAGTACACATTGGCAAGACCATTGGGTTGTTTAATATCGGCCATAGCCTTTTCCACCCTGGAAATTAATTACAGACAACCCCGGGTGCGCGTCCTGCTCATCCCCCCGGATTCGGTAAGAACTCTGGAAATGTTTTGCCATTAGGTGGTAGCTGCTCCTCTGCATTCTGATCATGGTTGCTGATTTATCATGTTGATTGCACGCTCTGGGTCGACTCGCGCAATGCAAAAACCACAACGAACTATGTTGATCCCCAAAAAAGGTGTCGGGTATGGTATACACACAACAGTTGGGAGGACATTAAAGGGATACAAGGAAAAACTTCTCTGGGCGTGTGCGAGGGATAGAGCCAAAACATTCGCGAAGCAAGAAGATATATATATATATGATAAACTAGGTACCTAAAGACTACACCGACAATAACACGTGTGCGTATATATTATATTATATTTGGGGCGGTTAGTTTAGAAACCGGCTAAAAGCAATTTTTGAACATTTTCACAAACGACAAGTAATTTCTTAGAATGGGCGATTTTTTTTTAACCAACCGAGATTTGTGTTAGTTATGATCTTTACTTTTGATATTCAATAATAGAGTGGCCACTTGAAAATGTCTTTTACCTGGTTTTGAAACTTGAGACGCCTCATACAAATAACAAATATATATAGCACCGTTGCTGTTCACCGAGATGTAAGCAAAATCAAAACAACTATTTGTAATTTAATTGGCGACTCGTTGTGATTTAATATTGCATTCATCTCTTAGTTTTCATAATTTAATATGATAACTGAAAAAGGCTTTTTCAAAAACATAGCGCGCCAAAAACATGTACTAAGGTAGTATTTTTCATCCTCGTTTACTCCAAATGAAACAAAATGGAAATTTTCCTTTTATTTTTTTTTTGAATACATACACAAATACATAATTAAATACTCTACTAAGACCATTTTGTCTAGGCCTGTGTACCTTTCATGTCTAAAATTTGAAAATAACTACACAGATTACAGACACTGATTCTAAATAGTCAAGTTTAGGATGGTAGGAAGGGCGGTGAGTAATACATAGCTCTGAAGGGAGGGGGGCACTCGACTGCTAGGGAATTTAATAATAATCTTTATATAATAAATATATACTATAAATCATGAAAATATTTTTCTTTGTTTTGTTTTCCCGGAGTAGGGTTTTTTTTTTTGAAAAAAAAATATATGTATTTTTTTTTTTGTACGTTTATTGTTCGGTCTCACATTATCAAATACTACCAGATTTCATACCCAGCTACCCCGACTGCATATTTTTCGTTCTTTTATTTTACATTATTTAATATTCCGTGTTCCCCCCCCCCTCCGATGATTTTAACGGCCGCAGAAAATCCTCAAACGCTTTCCCCTAAATATTATAATATTATATTATTTCCCCACTATTCACGCCAAACACGAATGTAAATCACGGACGACGAGAGGATTTGTATGGAAAATAATTTTCAAAAGCGAAATGAGTTTTTTTTATAATTTTTATCAACCCGTTTTGTTTTGTTTTTTTTCCCAGGAAACCGATTCGAAAAAATGGGAGAAAAAAGAAGCTTCGGGTCCTCCTTTGCAAACGGCCAGCATGAGCGTCAGAGCCCTGATCGAGGAGAAAATCATTCAGAAGAGGATTACAAAACCGGCTACGCAAAACGGGTTGACTTCGTCGTATTCTAGTAAGTTTAAACTTCAAAAAAAAAAAATGTTATCAATCTAGTATCATGTTGATTTTCACCGTGTCAAATTAAGTGGAATTGCATGCGGTCTGCTGTTTTTAAGGAGTTTTGTTAAGGCAATATTTAAGAAAAAAATAGGTTTTATTAAATTTCGACCATGTCGACTAGTTTTGGTGTAATTTTTTAATTTTTTTGTCGCAATTTTCCAGGCTCTAACCGTGACAAGGAGACCACGGTACAGAAAGTGGTGAGCAGAAGCACATCGGTTCACGCGGTCATGACCAATAATAATAGTTCTTTTGCCGTACCGGCAGTACCCAGCAGCACCGCATCTTCTGCTGTAGACACAACCGCCAGTTCTACCGATACAACGTCTGTGGTGTACTCGGATATCATCTTAAGAAAGACGGCCGTGAAGCGGGCTTGCTCGGACCCGGGATACCAATACAACCAGAGGTAACCTAGTTTTTTTAGCTCTCATATAGCTATTGCCAGTCGACTTGCCAATAGGCAAACCGTTGTGTACTGAAAGGGTAACTATTAGACGAGAAGGGGAATCGTTTATCCCTATCTCGTCCCCTGTCCCCCCAGTAGAAATGAACGTTAGGGGTCTTGACGGTGCTGTGATCGTGCAAGATCGCCGTCGTCCAAAGAGGCATGTCCGCCTCGGTCATAATTATTATTATACCTACTTACATACAAGTGCACGCGCGTCGCTCTTCGGCGTGTGTCTTTACACCAAATATTATTGTGCTGGTTTTTTTTCCAATTTTTTTTTTTTTTTTTGCGGCTTGTAAGTTCGTGTCGATCTAACGTCGCAGTCCATTAATCTTGTGTCCCCGTAATGGGATTTTGTTGCAGCAGCAGCACCGGCACCGGCACCAGCACTAGCCCGCAAATAGATATTAATTACCGCAATTCACCGTACAACACACTGAATCACGGCGGCAGCAGAGGCACCGGCGAAAAGGAAACCGATAACCACCACCGTGGCTATTATTCGCCGGGACTCAACGACGATATATTTCCCAACGTGCAAACGGACACTATGCTTTTACAAGCCGTCGATTCCGCACAGCTAGCCGACACGATACGGGTAACGTACACACACACACATACATACATACATACCGTCCAAGTGGTTGAATAGGTGTATTATTGCATAAAGCTAGTCGTCTCCACGGAAGTCCGTTGTTTTGTTAATAGTCGAGTACAAGAAAAATAATTAACACCGATTATAAATGTTTGTGTCGATAATATTCAACGTGTCCTTCGTAACAACAATTAAACATATTATTATATTATTACTACTCAACAGGTTCAGCGGTCACTGATTCCTACTCATCAATACTACAGTACTACTATCACGCTATTACCAATGTTCCTCCCCTAATAATAACAATCTCTTGTTAGTGTCTCCAAACAACTGACATTTATCTTATCGACGACCCCTACAAAAATAAAACTCCGGACCAATTCCCAAATCTTCACCCCCCCCCCTCGCACCACCACCAAATGAAGCCACGTCATATTGGCTTGTAAATAACGTGGCACGTCGCTCCAACCTATGTTTTATATATATTTATTATTTTTCGCACACTACCTCCGCCCCCAACCCCACCGGGTCTCGGTTTCTATAAAGTCAAGTTAAAAGTTCAAGCAATCCTTAGCCTGTATCAGGTTGTGTATTATGTGAATTGGAAGGGGCCGGTGCGGTGTGGTGGTTGCCGATTAATCAAAAAAAAAATCCCCCCGGAAACGTCGTCTGCATTAATCATCGGAACGCCGACGAGCTTTTATCGGTATATAACCTCCCCTCGCCTCCCCTCTCTCTTAAATCAGCTTACCCCTCCCCCATCCAGATTTGGTCCCGGCAGCATTATTGTTATTTAGCCCGCCTTCGGTATGATCGGCGTTTGGCCTCCGCTCCAAAACACACAGACAATACGTAAGAATATAAAAAAAAAAAATTAAAAAAATTGATCAGCTTCGCAGAAATAATAATAATGTTAAAAAGAAAGAAAAAAACAGTCAAGACGAGGTAAAACCTTTGAAACCGGTCACACCCTTTTTTCCCCCTCTTTTTTCCGTGTTCACCCTTCGGTTAACACCTTTATTAAAAAAAAATATATTCAATTATGTACCACCACCAACCCCACCCCAAAAAATCCGAAGGTGGTTTTTTCCCCGCCATTATTATTATTATACGCTTAAACGCGCACGCCAAACGGGACGGTAATTATATACATTAATTTGCATTGATTAAAAATATTTTTTTTAAAAAACTGATAATCCGCCGATATCGCGGGCCGGTCGATGTCGGTTAAGAAATGATGATAATAATAATATTATAAAGAAACGAATATATAGTGATAATATAAATTATTATTACCATTAAGAATTCACCGCGAACAGTGTAATTAACATACGGCCGCTTTAATTATTATCTTTGAAAACAAAAATAATTTCACAAGAATATATTATGAGCCGCCTTTGAAGTTAGGTCGAATCCCGGTCCGTACAAAGTTTTTTTTTTTTTTTTGGAGGGGTAAACGACCGTTGTAACCTTCCCCTATCTGTCCCACTCCCTTCTTGTCTCCCTCCTGTCGTTGGTAATAAATAAAAGGAAATTTCTTCCCGGTTTCCATCCACGCGCGCGTGTGTGTGTAATTGTAAAAGTTAAAACGAGTAATAAAAGGAATAAAAAAACCTAACTTTGTGTTTGACGGCCAAAATATAAGTCGGGGGCCTCTGAAGTAAATAAGTTACCGGGTTGAAATTATTGCACACACACATACACATGTAAATGTACATACATTTGGCGAATCCATTTCCAATGTTGTCCTATACATATATTTGTATATTATGTTAAAAGCCTGTCTGACGCGGTGTTTGCTTTTGATTCGAACGCAGCACGCGGTCGAGAGCCCTTTTAAAAGATAAACCCCCTTCCCCCCTTTTTTTTTTTGATAAATTGATCAAAGCGGATATTGAACCAACATGACATTGACGGAGATCAGAGGGGAAGGGTGGAGCTTGAGATTTTAAAAACCTTAAAACTTAAAATCAGCACTTATTTTGAGTTTTATGGGTTAATGACTTGGGATGAGCATATTTATCACAAAAAAAAAAAAGGGACTCGCAATTTTGTCCAAACTCACAAAGTCAAGAAAGACATCCAACAATATAATTTTAAAAAATTGTTTACATTTATTTTGATAATAAAAATTAATGTTATTTTTAATTCATTTAATTTATCAATAGACTGCATAGAGAGTGAATGAGGATAGCGCTGGGGTGATTGATCGAGATTTAGAAGATCTATGGAGGTGTAGGGTTAGGGTGGCCCACACCGTGTAGATGGGAATGTAAGGCGAAGATAAGAAGAAGAAGAGTTTATCTATAGACGACTCGTTTAAATTCCTTATGTCATATTAATAGTAGTTATTATGTACTCGCTTTGTACTGAAACAATTTTTTTTAATTGTGTGATCCTCTTGTCAGGCGACAGACATGCAGGACATGTCGTGTCTGGACGACTACGACGGCATGACGGATCTGCAGAACAGCGAAGATTTCCAAGCCGTGCTCAACTCGCCGTTGTCGGCCAGTCTGGCGGATCTGGCGTACAGTTCGGGACAGACCATGTTCACGGACCTGGGCAAGTCGCCGTTGCCGTCGCCCAGCTTCACCTACCCCACCCCGCCGGCGAGCCAGGAAGGCCATTCGCCGTCGTTGAACTTCCATTCGGTCATGTCCAACGGCCATTTGGGTGATTTTTTCTACTCGTCCGACATGTCCAGCTCGGAGGCCGTCGAGGCCGCCCTCAGTGAAGTCCTGCCCAATTTCGAATCGGCCACCGACTCGCCCGTTTCCGTCAACACTCCGGTGCCGTCGCCCATGTCGCTGCCCAACTCGTCCGCAGCACCGTCGCCGCTGCCCAACCACCATCAGCACACGTTACAGGTAAAAATAAGCATTTAATATAACATTGTAGCATGCACACTTTGGGACCGTTCGTAACTCTTAATTTGTCTTACAGGTAATGATGCCTAATTCTGAAGACCCGTTATTATCTAGCAGTACGAAAGAGTTCAGAAAGAAATTTGATTACCAGACTTGTCGGCTGTACGGAGTCAACGGCACCATGGCGCAAGTGATCGACGGCAGTCAGTTCCTGATCGACAAAAACGGCGAATTGAAATTGGTGCACGCCAATTACCAACATAATTCCGGATCGATGTTCGTGCAGCAAACCGAAGCGCAGCAGCCGAACGACAAGAGCGTCGTACCAACTCTCAAACATCAACTCAAGCAGGAATTCGTCGACGACCTGGACGACATATTCATCAACCCGTCGAGGTACGATACTGTTGTCTTTTGTTTTCAACACACCTCCTAAACAGCAACAGACAAATCTTATTAATGGACCTTATTTTGTTAAACGCTCGGCAGCATTCAATCGAACTACACGAACCGAATGAATCGGAAACGGTGCTTCGGAGACATTTCCACCTATAAATCGTTTCGGTCGAGATTGCGCTGCCACAGGTTGGGCCTGATAAACGAGCCCACGTTGCAATACACTCCCAAGCCCATGCTGAGCCCCTCGCGCAACGGACGGGGTCTATACTGGCAAGCGGTGACTTCGTGGCCGAGCTCTACGACCGTCCGGGGTATGTATGAGTGTTGCTTTTAAACACAGACAGCTGTGAATTGAAAATATATTTATTCCAGAAGGAATCGTGGAAGATTGCGTGGGTCTCGATTCGCCGCCCGAATGCGACGTGTTGCCGCACATCAATCTCGGCTCAAACTTCCAAGCGGTTTTGCCACCCTTCAACCCGATCAAACCGACCCCGGACTCGCCGCCTAGCGACTATCTGCTCTGGGACCCTTTCATTACGGATTTTGTGGCCGAGAGGGAAGGTGAGTACATGTTGTGAACGGTACATAGGAACGTCTCTATATATTTATTCGTCTATTCTATTGACCCACAGTGGAAATGTACATGGATTTCGCTTGTTGCGCCGCAGTGCCCGGCGGTGGCAGGAACAAGGAGTACGCCTTGCACTTGCTCCATCTTTGCAGGGGAAACGTTCAGGTAAGATCGGCGGTCGCTTATGCGTGTCTATATTTTACTAAACCCTGTGCGTTTGTCGGTTTACAGGAAGCCATGTTGAAACTGATGCAGCCCACGCCGTACTTACCCCAAGGACATCCGTTGACGAAATTCGAGTACACCGAATCGGACCATTGGACCCAGAACGAAGTGTCGACGTTCCACAAAGCCATATTCAGATACGACAAGGATTTCTCGTTTATATCGCAAGAGGTAACAGCTATAATAATGTTATATTATATTGTGTGTTTGGCGTAACCCCCCAAAGTCTGACTGATGGCCGTTGTTGTTTTCAGTTGGGATCGAAAACTCTGAAACAGTGCGTACAGTTTTATTACTTGTGGAAAAAAGTGTGCCCGGAAGATTACAAACAGTTTCAACTGCAACGGCGAAAGTCCAGAACCGACGACACCGCGGTGGCCAACGCGAAATTAGACATTCCCGTGAGTACTGACCAGCTATTTGACCTGTAAGCATAACGTTCTCGTCCTCGTTGTTGTAAATACACCAGCACACACACACACACGTCTTTTGTGTTTCATGTTACTTCGTCTAGGCTAATAACAATGACGTCACCGCCAGTTCGGAGGACCAACAAACTTTCGTTTGCGAATTCTCAGACTGTCTGTCGGTGAGTGGCATCCTCTCTCTTGCGTTGTTCCTCGCTATCTCGTTGTCCCTGTTATTATACAAGTAGTGCCCCTCAAACCTAACCTAACCCAACCAAACCAAACCCAACCTAACCAAACGTAATGTAACCTAACCGAATTTGTTTTCTTCTTTTTCCATTTACCTCAGACGTTCAACAGTAAGATCGGACTAGCGGCTCACGTGAGGCTGCACACGGCCGGCACGCCCGACCGAAGGCACGCGTCCACGCCCACGCAAATGGATCCCAACTACGAGGAGTTCCCCTGCAAGATTTGTGGAAAGTAAGTATACTTGAGTAAGCTTACTTAATCTCAAACTCAATCTTAATGTGTGTGTCTGTTTGCAGGGTGTTCAACAAAGTGAAGAGCCGCAGCGCACATATGAAATCGCACAGGCCGCCGGACGCGGAACCGAAAAAACCGAAACTGGACCAGAACTTAGACTACGGACAAATGATGCAGCTCAAGACTGTGGCCACGCCCATACAGCTACACAGACAATGTTAAATAGTATTATGTATTGTGCAGCGTTATATTGTAGTATTATTAGTATTAGTATTATTGTTGTTGTTGTTATTTAGGCACTGCGCTATTAACGTTTGTAAACTCTATATTAATTATTGTAATGTAATAGGTACCTACCTACGCACAAAAGCTCAAGAAATTAACGCGGACCTCGTACAATCAACACAATCCTTGTGTCCAGGGTGTTTGTATTCTATCTCTCACGCCCTCTCTCCCTTGCTCTATACGATTACGCCCAAGCAATATTAAATATTAATCATTTTTCTAATTATCTATATTATAATATGTTTAACGTCTCGAAAAAGCTCTTCCTTGACAGCGTGTATAATACTTAAGTCATCATCATTGTAAAGCAATAATAATAATCAATTTTCATGTCTCGGACAATAAATATTGAAAACACTTGTGCCAATCATTTATTTTTCACTTTATATTAAATCAAAATGTGTATAGAATAAAAAAACATATGCTCATTATGAACAAATAAACACCTATCGATATAAGTATTTAAAAATATATATATAGTGAGTTTTTAAATTTGTTTTTTATCAAATTTCGTCAATTAAAAATCATTTATAAATACCGCCAATATGTCAGAATATAAGTGTGTGTTTATTGGAGTGTGTTGTATACTTTATATATAAATATATATACAATTTTGACTATAACAAAAAAAAACATTATACGTAAACCATATTTCTATTTAGTATAAATATTTTAATATATACATATATAAATAGCTTTAGAACTCATTTGGGAAGTATGTATTTGGTAATCAAATTCATAACGAACAAATCTGTAAAAAGTCTTCATTATTATATATTGTTATATTGTGCCAAATAAAATATTTTCCCCTTTGTATTTTTATATCCTGTTAATATAATTTTGTAAATATTTAAAAATATACAATATTTTATCAAGTCGATGCTCAAATTCTCTGTCGTCAAATTACATATTATTGTAAAACTAATTTAGATTCAGTCTTCCCTCCACTCAAAACTTAACACCCACAGCTACTATAATTTGAAATTTGATTGTACTAATTTAATCCTTCTGGTGATTGTTTATACACAGTTATAATTTTTTAGCAATAAAATAGGTAAATCATATTTAAATAATATTCATTTTAGAAAATACTATACACAATAATGGTCTACCTTCCAATTAAGTACTGTCTTTAAAACAATAGAGGTACCTATCACTACTAGTTAGCTATCATTTTAATTTTCTCCGACATGAAAAACATTTTTTTTTTTAATATTATTTATTACTTATAAAGTTGTAAAATATAATATCGACAATGGCCCAACCGAAAACCATGTTTACCACATGCTCTATTTTTATTTCTTGCATGTTTGTAAGATAAGATTTTTTAGAAAAAAATGTAATTAAGACATTAATTGACGTGTTGCTTTTGTATTGTATAATTCGAAAGAAAAAATATTTAAAAAAAATTGAATATATATATATTAATATGTTAGCAATTAGGCATATTATTAATATTATTATAATAGTGGTAGTATAAAAAGGTAATTTTATACTAAGCCTTTTTATAACGCTACTCGAGGGTTAATTAAATTATTATTATTATTTTTTTTTATGTTATTTGTTGCCAGTATTGATTTTTTGTTTCTTTTTTTTTTTTTTTAGGGTTTTTTAGGGAGCGATTTTTATGATTCTCCTTGTCTTACTTGCCAAATTAAAATATTTTTATCCGGTCTTAAGCGTTGCCGGTACATTCCATCATTCCCCCAACGTTTCGAATTTTCCGGCTAAACATTGTGCGCCCACAAAAGGGTAATGATAATAATAATAATAATTAACAAAGATGTAATGTGTAATTAATTAACGCTAAAAAAATTGTTATAGTTATTTTAGATAAAGAGTTATACGGAAAATTGAAAATTGAAATATTATATTAATAAATTATCTTAAATTATTTAATAGAAAAAAAAAAAATTTTAAATATTTTAGTACTTTCTTATAATAATTGCAAAGGTAAATTTTTAGCGTATAGCTGTTATGTATTGAGTTATTAAGTGTTCGTTTGAAAATGTTCGTTGTTGTTTTGGAATCGAAAAATATGAAAAATAATTATTGTATTTTATTTTTTTTTTTTTTGTTCTGTTTTATTTATTCAATTTTCTTTGTTTTTTTTTTTTTTTAGTTAATTTCCCGTAGCTAACTAAAATGTTGTAAGTACTTGCATATTATATTATTATTATTACCTATAATATCTAATGCAACAATGTTATGTATTATGTACCTTAACTAAATATGTTTTGTAAAAATTAAATGAATAAAAATATAATATAGTTATATATTGTTTGGCGTTTCAATATTATTTTTCTGTACTGCATTGATTATATATTTATACGGCTGTAAGGACTTAAATAATTACATATTATGCTTATTAATAAAAAATTATTATTATTTTCTTATTACGGGGGGCCCTGAATACCGACCATTTTTAAAGAGTTTTCTATAGGCTATAAGCTATACGTTAATACAGCCTGACAAATACTGTTGTGTTTACTTGAGAAGTAGACAGTTGAAAATTATTGTACCGATATATTAAGTCGCCTACATAAAAACGAAAGCCATAAAACAAAAAAACTAACGTTAGTACGATTTATACGTTCGAAAATGGCATACTATAATACTATTGTTTGGACGATCACGATTCTGGTGACCGTTGGATTATCGAGTGCAGTACACACAAACGACGATAAGGACTCGCTCAAACAAGGATTACTCGATGGATATGAAACCGGGTCAACGAGTGCAGTGCCCACAGACAACGAGATAGATTTATATAAACCAAAGTTAAATGATGAATTTAATTCTGGACCATCGAGTGTAAAACCCACAGACAACAGTATGGAAATACAACAAAAATTAATAGATGAAAATAATTATCTTGAGGCGCTCAACAGGGGAATATTTGCCAGCCCCCAAACACATATAACGGAATTGAGCATATCCGACGAAGAAGACGTTAAATATCGTCAAACTTTAAGTACAACTTTACAAGAACTCAATTGTAACTATACGTATGATATATTAGTTTTTATAAATTTAATGACTCCAGATAACTACACAAATGTGAAATTGTACAAAAGTGTCGACCATACATGCTCGAATTGGGCTCAACATATGCTGAACGCAAGAATCAATAGTGGTTTCCCGGTAAGGAAATTTCCGCACAATTTGTGGATGTTTTATCTTTACACGAAAAAAATGAACATGTTCTTAATGAGCGACGGCAAAAAAGAAATGAATAAACTTCACGGTTTAATGAAAAAATATTTCAATGTAGGAATAGAAGTATGTAAACATGTGTGGCCTGATAATGCCAATGATGATTCATACGAGGACCAAAATTCAGCGTTTGAAAAGCTCACAGGGACATGTGCACATCTCCGCATGATGTCTGAAAGCAACAGCAACTTCAATGTTGATGTTGAATCAAGCTTATATATTAATAACGTGGCAGAAGACACTGCATTTATGAAAACTTTGATTACCGATTTTGGAGGTTTAGACGGCGGACAGATCCTTGTAAACACCCTGAATAACTCAATGGCCGCAGCTAAGAATCCTAAGTCGTCGCTTTCCCATTGGATCAGGTCACTTAAGGAAGTCCATTATTTTTTCTTGCGGATTGTAAAAACCATAATATTACGTATGTGGTGGGCGTTTTTGGACAATTTGAAAACGATGAAAAAATCACAGTCAGTGCAGGAACAAATACAATCATTGTACAAACAACATTTAGATGATTTTGCTAGCTTGCTTAAATTAAAAAAGGATGATGATTTCGTGGAACTCATGCAATATAAAAAAAATGACGATTTCACGAAACGCATTACCGACTTTTTATCAATTTTTAATCGGACAATAGAAGACAAAATGTCTAAGATTTCGCATTTGCTGAAAATGTACGATACAAACAATTCAGGATTACATTTTTCAAACTACCGCCCTGAGTCCTTAAAAACAGTTAGCTGTCTAACCAATAGACTAGTGGATATTGCAGACGCTATTGGTTCTAGTTATAAACATAACAGTGACATAAGATCTTCGTTAGGAAAGAGAATGATGTGTGTGGGAGTTTTTGTGGAATATTTAAAAAACAAACTGTCTCATGTAAATTTTGATATTTTGCAATCATTCGACGAATTTGAAGAAAGAGTTCGGCCATATGTTATGTGAGATTATTTAACTAAAATACATAGAATATAAATAAAAAATCAACCTTATAAAAAATATGTACTAATAATGTATGTATGTAAAAATCCATTTTCTCAATTATATTATACCTACTCTTTAAATTTTATATTATTTACATTTCTGTATAATGTTAAACAATTATTCAAAATATTTTTTTTAAATAACTTGCATATAATATTTGATTTTTTGCTAAAAAATGATGTCTAATATTATGAATTATAAATAAATTTTTGCAGTACACTAAATTTTGTTTAAATGATTTTTTTTTTTTGAGTTCCTGGCATAGTCATAAGTCAAAGTCAATTTTGTATGGTATTTTTTTTTTATCTTTAAAACCATTTTTAATGGTATCTTTTTTTTGTTTATGCCTACCTAAACAGGTTTAGACGGAAAAAAAATGTTTTAAATATTTAATGCTATCAATAGGATGCTGACTGCTGTGATATTAAATATTAAAAAATACTATAGAGAAAGTTTTGAAACGATTTACTGTAACAACCTTTTTTAAGTTACATAAAAAAAATGTAAGTAACAAATTTTACAATTTGCTCATTGCATATTATATTTTCACCAAAGACGTATAATTTTGTAAGTGTGCATTGTCAGCCATCGCAGCTGTGTTGCAAAAAGAAAAGAAAGACTGTCGCCAAAAGTATAGTTTACTAACCGTCAACAGCTACTGCGTTTATAAAATATTTTATTTAAATGATTATTTTTGAGTTCCTTCCATAGTCCGCCGTCATTATTTGGTTAAAATACTCTTATTTTTTTCTTAATATTTGAAAACAATTAGATACCCTTTGCCATAGCTCATATCTGAAATATTACTTGGTGTTTAAAATTCACTTACGCAGGTTCTCTGTCAACCAATTTAACATATTATTTGGAGGTAATTATCAACTCACGAACGTACCTTGACATAATATTATGCAATGTGTGTGTGGCTGTACTTTCTAAAGGTTATAATATGGAAAAATGGTTCCGACCAACTACTTCATGTGCACAATTTAAATACCTAGAATGTCTATATCAAAAAGAAATTAACACAAATAAAATAAGTTTTGTATACATTTAATAATAACTATTAATTTCTATAATGCTCAAGATTTTAATTTTTTTATTTTAATTAAACCTGCTGAAAATTTTAAAATAGTATAAAAACTGATTTGCATAAAGAAAAAAAATACTATTTAGGCTGGCCTATTTTATGCAAATCTCAGTATCGTCAGACGGCCCAGCTTGGGGCTAATATGGCTAATTTTGGTAATCAAAGACAATTCAACCTTTCCTGTTTGAATACATATAAAATAATTATAGTAGAGTAACTCGTGGAAAAACATTTTCTATTTTTTATTAAGTGGTGAAATTATTACATTTTTGGCCCAATAAAGTACCTTTCAGGTATGTTTAACTGATCTAAAAAGTGGCCGTATAAAAAAATCAGTTCTCCGAGCTAGATACAAAAAAAAATGTACTAAAAATGTTTAACTACTTTACCCCCAAAACCGAGAAACGACATTTTCTCATTTCTTTCATTATTATTTACATATATTTAAGAAAAACCCGTTTTCTAAACAATTTTCCCTATAAACACAATACAGTTAAACCAAACATTAATGGTTTCTAAACGTAGGTAGTTTAGACTTTTTAACTTAATAAGTATTAAATGTTATTTTGTAAGAAATTCGGTTTTAATAATTGCTGTTTATTCTGGCAAATGTTTTTTTTATTATTTGCAAGTAAGCGCGGCGGTTTTTTTTTTTAAATAATTTTAATGTTATTTGTTTAGTTTTGAAATTTTGATGGTTCAAAATAAACATAAATACCTTTGTTCCATAATATTGATTTGCAGTCTTGTTCAAAATTATAAATCTTAGACCTATAAATAAGTTGTCAATACCTTACTTTTTGATAACTTATGCTGATAAGTTGCAACCTTTTACTTACTTGAACAGAGGAAATACAAACACTTGATCTTGTTTAATGGATATTTATATATATGTACTATAAATGTATCTACACTACCTACATCTTAATAACACTATAATTTTTTGGCAAATATCTTTCAAAACAGACTGTCAAGACTTTTCTCATTTTGTTTACCGTTAATTAGGTTTTTTTCCCACGACAAATAAATCTTTTTCAATGGTATCGACAACTGAATTTTAAAAAACAATGTGTTATAAATATTGTATTGTATGTTTGGATAATATATTCATTATTAAACCTGGTTAATATTCGCCACTTTTACAATAAACGACACAGTATTCTATTATGCACAGACTTCATTTTCAACCGTGTACCGCCATCTGTCGGTCACGACTAAAACCGTCAAGACGTCTTGCCTTTTGTAAACCATCGTTTGATTTTGTCGGTTGTCTTTGCTCTACACTTTCATTCTTTCTTGCTTGTAAACTTAAGTAATTTCACTTAATAATCGAGTAGTAACAACACTTGGGTTTAGTCGAGTTTTCAGTCTTAACAAATCAATCACTCTCAGCAAAAGAAATTGCAAACTGTCTTGTGACCAAACTTCTGCACAGCCGAAGAAGACAAACTGTACATTTATACCAGTTGAATTTCAGCAATCGAGCAATCGACTAATGGTCCACCAGTTATGCTGGTGTAACCGTTGCTCTTTTAATTTATCTAGAACGGGCTGTCAGTTCTCACGACAGCCTACATATGTACTCAAAGATCTTAAATTCTCATCTTCAACACCTGTACAAGGGGATGATTGGGTGCGGTCTGTTTTTAAGGAGCATTGTATAGGCAATAGTTAAGACTGATAAGATGTTATTTAATAAATATCCACCAGTGATAATTTACAGGTTAATTATTTGTATAAGCTTCAAGATGTTATTTTAATTAAAAAAAACAATATCAGACCGCATGCAATCCCCTTATAATAGTAAATTCTATAGCACGTTGTATTATATGCAACTACAGTGCATACTTCTTAAATATATATAACTATGTTAAATATTGTAATAATTAACATAGTTAAATTAGATTCAAAGTAGAATACTCGATTGTTACTATTAACATTGATATGTTAATATTAACAATCGAGTATTCTATACATTTAACATAACAAGATCGTTAAGACTTAAGTGTCGGCATCCGCCCCAATTGCACAGAAGTTAAATCCTCATTAGTATAAGACTAATTCTAATAAATTATTAAACATTACACTATATTATACCCGACAACAATGAAGTTTGCTTGAATCACAATAGTCTTATCTTAGCTTTTTTGTTTTTGAAAACACAAACTTTCAAATTTCCCAATTCTAGTTCTAACTCACATTCTAGATAATATAAACATATAGGTATAACAGATATTGTAGGTCTAAAAAAAACTTAAGAAACACTCATATTATATATACATATTTTATGTTATTGTTTGAAATCTTAATGTAATACGATCACAATATATTGTAATAGATATTATATATATATATATATATATATATTTATTTATTTATACAGATTATATCAAAAAGCAATTGAAAATCAGTTATTCAAAAACCTAAAAAAAAAAACAATTATCAATCATATGGAAAAGGCACAAGTAAATTATTAGGATAATATATAATGTATAGTTTGCCTAGAATTAAATTAATTTCTTTTAATTGTTCTGTGTCTTGTAGTTGATGTTAAAGTAGGTAACAACAACTTGATACATTTCTTCAGTCAAAATATCTAAATCATGAACACTAGTCTCAATTTCCATCAAGTCATTACATTTGAAGGCCAAATTATGTAAAATGCAAGCAGCTATCACAGTAAGACTCATCATTTCATTTTGCTTCAATGAACCTAAAAAAAAAATGTAAAAGACAATTGAGCTTAATAATATTAAAAAATAGAGAGAATATACAAATTTAATAATATATTTGTTTATATTGAGCCCTAAATTTTTGAATTATTGTATAGTTTCTATTAAAAATATCGGAACAAATAAATATGTATAAAATAAGTTAGATGTATACAAGAAAAAATATATATATACAAGTTACCTATTGCAGAACTTCTTTAAGGCCATATAATAAAATCATCCATGAGTTTTGACATGGCCCGGATAGACTTGTAGTTGGTACGGCAAAATAGACCTCTACTTAGTCCAAAGCGGTCCCTGATTTGACTGTAAGAAATTAATGCAGAAATTAATGTTGATTAGTATTAAATTATATGGATCGGTGTATTATTGGTATATATTCAATAGTAAAAATATCCAATTAAAACAAGTCAAAATGCCAAAAGTTTTTTAGTTTATTAATAATAAAATATAATGCATTCAAGAGTTCTCTTTTAGAAGCCCAAAAAGTATAGCTCTTAATAATAGTGAAATTTAGTAACATTTTTTAGGGTATTTTATATGAATCATAATTATATAATTATTAGTAATATATTATAATAGTTGTACAGTATAGTTTATAGCAATTAAATAGATATTTTTTCCTGGAACTAATTTCTTTGGACATTTTCACCTAGATTTATATTCCATTTATTAAATTTATTTTCTATAATAATATGTACCTTTACATACATCCGTATAATTATTATAAATATTCTAACCAAGAAGCAAAAAGAAACTTGGAAAAATATAGTCACGAATTAGTTTTTATTACCCATATGTCTCAGTATTACATATACAGTCATAAATGTTGTTTTTTTTAAGTCAGCTATAGGTCTTCATACTTTAGTTGTGTACGAAAGTCGGCATATACAATGGTTTTACTTCATATATGGACACCTAATTTAAAACATTGACAAAATATTACTTACTAATAAAAATGAAAATATTAAACATTATTATACCTATACAGGTAATATGTTTTGTTACAAATTATATATATTTACCTCAACCGTCTTCGTACAATCTTGTAGCTAACATGAAATTGGTAATTGTGGTTTTACAACTCGACAGTTGATGGTTTAACAACAGAATTATTTTCTTTTAATCCAAAATATGTTTGGTGGTTTTTTGACGTCGAAAAGCAAATATCAAACAGGATAAGTTTTTACATTTTCCATTTTGAATAAATTCAAAAATATTATGTAGAACTCCGAAAAAAGTATAATTTTAACGTTAAAAACAGAAAAGTAGATTTTATTTTTACTTAAATTTTAAATTTAATAAATTCTGATCACGGATAAAAATATGATAAGATGAAAATGCAAGTATACCCACTTTCGTTTTGTTACGTATAGCGACATCTGGTGTAATATTCCAACGTTGCGTCAACGACCGTCCCGACGTGATCTGCCGCCGTGTAGTTTACAGTGACGCCAGTAGAATGTGCTGGACGTGTTCAACTCATTGGCCGCTCCGGTTTCGTAGTATCCAAGCTTAACTGTCGATCGTCCAAGGTGTAAAGTTCTATCGACGAACCCGACACGAACACTTTGTGTGACTTACGGCCTTCCTATGTACTTTTGGCCCGTCTGGAGACTAGCCGTAAGCTTTAAAGGTAGTCGACGCATTTTGGCATACTGACCGGGTTCGTGTATGCGTTCAGTGCATAAACAACACCAAAACCGACGATATCGTCAGCTTTGCGCAGTGGCGATATCGTAACCAATGAGGTCTATCCGAGGTGCGATTATTGCTAGTTGAAAACTTTAACCAATACCCCGCCATGTGGACATGAAACACTGTCCGCATAGGCAATTTTTGCAGGCCCTGACGGGCTCATATCACTTGAATCTTTTTTAATAGAGTATTAACTAAGGTGTTATACATGATGTTTTAATTCTATTTCTTAACTATCATATAGTGTAAAGTGAGTAGAGTGAAGTTACATTACAAATTGTTATATGCTTTAGTTTACAGAAACGTAGTTAAAATGTTAATGTCATACCATGACATGTATTTAATAAACAGCAAAACTATGTATCCAAATATTGTAATATTTGCATACAATTATGCAAACTCAAATTTCCCTAGTGTAGTCCAAAGAAATTGATCGATAAATAATTATAAATTTAATTTAGTTTATATTTAATTATCCACAATGTGTGCGCTCATGTTTGTTGTAAACTTGTGTTTCTTGTAAAAATAAAAGATTTAAGTATTTTTCTATTTAGATTTTAGTTAGCTATTTAACGTTCATCATTTTGGCTAACATCGTTAATTAGTCATTCATTACAATCTCCACCAACAGTAACAAACTAATATATAAATACAACAATAAGAATGTATGTTATTGATGTTATAGGTAAGGCAACACTTATTTTTCAATAAAAAATGTTATGTCATGAAAATTATGAAAAAACTTTTTATAAGCAACCGATAGCTAATATTTTAATTATTTTTACATTTTTTGTAAATAGAATTTAAAAAGTTGGGCTGAGACATTACGCATTATTGCCCAATTTATGACTTTTGAAACATAAGAAGTTTAAACACCTTAAAATGTCTATCTATTTATACAGTGATCCATTTAACATAAGAAGTTCATTTATTTGGAAGATATTAATAAATTAATAAGTAGTTTTTCTTTTTGAGAACATTTTTAGTTAGTTATGAGTTATGACTTAAGTGACATTGTAAAACAAACATTTTTTTTTTTTAAATGGCAATTATTTTTATTAAATGCATCGAGTGTTTTTTGGTTAAATGGATTACTCTGTATATACATATAAACATATATCTTGTTTGTCCAATAAAAACGGCTATTTAAGTAAATTATAATTTGCCAGTTCTCTCTCGCACAGTTTAACTTCGGTACCTTACGGAGTGTTTTTTGACAAGTTACTTAAATACAATTTATAAAAAACATAAGTTATTCAAAATAACATTTTTTAATTTAATTTTTACAGAATTACAGAAAATGTCAAAAATATATACATAAATATTTTATTTCATTTTCTCTATTTAAAATCTACTAGTTGTAACATAAATATGTTAAAAGGTTTTGTGTTTCGCAAACCAAAATTTTTGTAGTTAATATTGTCAAGGATCACAACTAATACCATAAAAATAAAAACTAATACTTTGAAAATACTATGAAGAAACACTGAGGATGTATTACGATGATCCGACAGACTTTTACATATAATATTGTCATATTATTGTGATCACCCTTTATATGACACATTATAACAATGAATTTACTGACTATTCTATTAAAGAATTAAATATATTATTAACTTTCATTGCATACATTTATAATTAAATTGAAGGAGCAGAAAACTAAAATATATTGTATAAATTAACAATTATAATTATGTTACACATATATATTTTCGACTTCATTTATGCATTGAATTTTGAAAATATAAATATAAAAATTATTAAATTTGATAAGAATAATGGATTAGTTTCAACATGTTATAAATATAATCCTTCAGGAGTGCCTTCTTTCTTGCGGTACAAAACACTCTCCTTGGATTTCTTGAAATCTTCGTTAGTCACTTTCATACGACGTTCACGGAGCGCCATCAAACCAGCTTCAGTACAAATTGCCTGCAATGAAATTAATATTGTAAGTTGTAAGCAATTATTATTGATATTCACTTTAATTTTTTGAAATAAATTCAATGTTTTTTTACGTTTTATTGGAACTAACACAGATATCATCAAATGTACCTATTTATTTTTGTGCATTTAAATAACTGCAACCAACCTAAATAGGCAAGGCTTGTTGCAACAACTTTTTTATTACACAATGGAATTAAACTCGATACTTTTAGTGTCAAGTTTAACGCCTCAACTGTTGCTACCTCACACGTATTCACTTAGTTATTTGATTAGAACCATTAAAAAAAAAAAGAAACTGCCTTATTTGAATTTGTCAATAATTACCTTAATATCAGCTCCAGAGAGATCATCTTTGGCCATAATTAGTTCTTGTAGATTAACTCCGTCAGCCAATGTCATTCTAGAAGTGTGTATATTGAATATACGACGTTTGGTCTTTTCGTCTGGCAAGGGGAACTCGATCTTTCGATCAATACGGCCAGGACGAATTAATGCTGGATCTAAGGTCTCAATACGATTAGTGGCCATCACAACCTGAATGTAAAAATAATAAATGTATTAAAATCATAAGCATAATAAATTGAACTATGGTGGTGGAAGTGGCCATTTGGACAAAATTAAAAATAATTAATTGCTTTTATCGTTTTTATACAGCACAATATCCGGTAAATCCTTTAACGCTCTACACTAGTTTATTCTTAAAATAATTGCTGTTTAATAGTGTTTTGAATAATTATTTACAAGTTATTAAAGTTTAAAATTTAGGATGGGAGTAAGAGTGGAGAGTAGAGTTATTTTTATCTGCGGACATTTCTCAGCCACACTCCACCTCCAGTCCTAAATTTTAAACTTAAATAACTTTAAAAATAACTATTCAAAACTGGTTATCGATCAGTAAATTATTCTTAATTTAAAAAGCTAACTGAATTTATAAACTTTGCCATTTAAGTTCAGTAAGTTGATAGAGCTCTAGCAAATACTAAAAAAAAATGTTTAATATTGTACTATAACAAAAATAAAAATATTTCCAAAGAGAAACACTACAAAATTGAAATTATTTTATAAGTAAACTAGTGTAGGGCGTTAAAAGAATCACCCGGTATATCAAACAATTATATAAAAGAAACTAAATTTGGTCAGAGAATATTTATTGATTAAAAAAATGTTTTTTTATTTGTACACAACTTCTAATATCATACGATGGTAGAATTGTGGATAATATATACATCGATAAATTTCACCCAGTATCAGTACAATTGTTAAGTGGGTAACTGAGATAAAATAATATTAATTGATAATACAGCTTAAAACTATATTTGAAGGTCGCCGTTTCCAAAAATGTTGTTAATTTTGTCGAATTGGTCTTGTCGTCGAGATACAGTCTATACTCAATATATGAACACATACAAAAAGAGTGGTTTTAAATTGATACTTAATAAACCTACTAAAACCAACAAAATATGATTTACAGACAATATAACTTAAAAGGATTTGAACAATTTTAGTTTTGATTTTAGTAATTCCTAACACAGAAACAAAAATACTTGTACAATGTAAAATTTATCATTGCAATGTACAATTAACATTTTCATATCATCGTATTAAAGTTATTCGGTGATTAAACACTTAAGTAACAATAATTTAAATCAATTAGAAGAATTTCATACCTTAACGTCACCCCTCGAATCGAAACCATCCAGTTGGTTAAGTAACTCCAGCATAGTACGTTGAATTTCACGTTCTCCTCCAGAATTTGAGTCGTAACGTTTGGTACCCACTGCATCAATTTCATCGATAAAGACTATTGATGGAGCATGTTCTTCTGCAACACGGAACAGTTCTCTAACCAACTTAGGACCATCTCCCTGTGGAATAATTACAAATTGATTTTCAATAAGAGTACAATTTTAATTAACTTGGATTCCTTTCTATACAGTTATAAAAAAAAACAGTCTTAATAGCCATTATAAAACAACAGAATTTTTAGTTAATTAATTGATATTAAACGTAAAATAAAAAAATGCGTCATACCAAATATTTTTGGATAAGTTCCGATCCAACAACTCTTAAGAATGTAGCTGAAGTTTGATTGGCAACGGCTTTGGCCAAAAGAGTTTTTCCAGTACCCGGAGGTCCATACAGAATCACTCCTTTGGGGGGTTTAATACCCATTTCTTCATAATACTCAGGGTGAGTGAGTGGCAACTCAACAGATTCTTTTATTTCCTGAATTTGTTGATCCAGCCCACCAATATCGCCATAAGTTTCTTGGGGTGCTTTTTCTAACTTCATAACAGTTACCATTGGATCAGTGTCGTCAGATAAAACACCTACAACTGCATGAACCTGAAATACATTAAGTTCACAAACGGTTAAACATAGGTTAGTGTTTTAAATCAAGTTATACCACCATATTTTTATGTTTATTCAATTACCTTATGGTTTAGCAAAACAGAGCAACCCGGTTCCAATTGGTCTTTGTCAACAAATGACAATATACTAACATAGTGTTCGCTTCCAACAGACGTTGACACAATGGCATGATTGTCATCGATAATTTCCTCCAAAGTACCAACCGACATTGGACTTCCACGTAAATCATCTACCCTAGATCTTTCTTCCTAAAATTAATAGTAGTGTTTAAAGAAATGTTTATTACATAATATAAATAAAAACATATAAATTACAGATCTCCTGGCCAACATGTGCGGCCATACTTACAAAGACGACAGACATAAATAATATAGCGTTTAAAATATGATAGGGCTAACTAAAAAGTAATACTTAACATATTTTCTTTCAAATGGTTATCAAATCATTGTTGTATGTATCTTAAAGAAAGCACAATATTTTGAAAAGACACAATTTTTTATGGAAAAAAAATTGATAACTTATAGAAATGGCTACAAATCAGTTTGATAAAAAAAATTCCAATAAAGAATCGCATCACTGTACTAGTTAGAGCTTATTATTTCACGTTTATTCAAATATCCGAATGTTGCGTGTAGTTTGTGAATTTTTTGCCATGTTTTTCTTATTTGAATAAAAGTTTTCATAAATATTTTTAAGATATGTGTTCAGTGTTATCGTGTTTTCGTTACAGAAATTCATATAAGTGATCAAGATTATTAGTATTATTAATTATACTATAGTAAGTTCTAGATTAAGATTTCGTGAAAAAATGCCTATATCTTTACTCCTTTATAAATAGACAGTAAATATGGTTCATAAAGCCATTTATTTCAATGGAATATTTTAATTTCTAACATCATTTAATGTAAGCAAAGCTTTTGTGCAGTGGAAGTTGAATCTGATACCCGTATTACTAAGTTCACTCCCCCACACGTTTATTTTTCCCTGATAACTACCAATATTACATGTTACAATCGATCAAAAAATAAAATTTTATTTATATCATAAATGGTTAATGGTTTCAACAATAACAAATACCAATGTATTATTACCTCGTTTCTTTCTTCTTGGGGCTTCAATCTTTCTTGATTCAATATGAATTCTTCTTCCATCATCAAATAATCCTTTACACGTTCTAGTTTTAACAACTTCAAACGACATCTTGTGTGTGGTGTAACTAAAATTTAAAAATAATTTAATAAAAATTAAGAAAAAGATTCTATGTAATAGTTAGTGGTACTACTTTGAGGTAATTTTGTGGCTGTATCTGGACCCTTTGCACGTTTCCTTTTCTTACCAACCCTAGTTGGAATTGGTGGTTCGTACTTCTTCTTCTTGTCTTTGTCATCTTTCTTCTCACCTCCGGCTCCTCCACCACCCGAATGACTTTGTCCCTACACAAGAACATACATTACGAATCAACAATTAATATACCTAAGTAAAACATTTAAAATATCAGTAATTAGTATAATAAAATAAATAAAAAAATATACAATTTATAACCAGAGAATTCCATTGAAAGATATGACTTACCATATTTATTAATACAAATTTGATGAGTTAATAGTTAATACAAAACGTAAATATAATTATTATTTTAACTATCCAAAAATTGAGTTGAGTTGACTTGACAAAAATTGAAAATAATGAAAAATATTATTGTTAACTAGTCTTCACTCTCGAACTCAAATTCTGTTTATCATTTGCTCTGTTGCCAAACTTCATAAAATGTTAGGTTAGAATTCCAAAGACACTATAACTAAAAATCAAATCATATGATAATTGATAACATATTACAAAATTTTCATTTTTTAATTTGGTCGATAAATTAACTTCCGAGTTCTGTATCCAGAATCCAGATCATAGACATTAGACATAGAGAATAAATAAAATAATAAACCTTTATAGCTTATAATTATAGGTCTTACAATCTATGGTCTAGATGTGTCTTACGTATAAATCATAGTTGACTATGAAGTATGAATTTAACGCCATTAATTTAGGTATAAGTATTTTTAATTATTTATCAAAATGTATTAATATTACTGTGTATAGTGTATACATTTTCAGCACACCAAACAACGAAAAATTACTATATTTTTTAACTTAATTGAAACTCTAGACCTCTTCGGGAGTTTTTTATAATTAAGAATAACTACCAAACGTATGTTCCAGTGTACATAATTAGTTAGGTACTCATTAACTAATACTAAATTATTATAGTTGGCTCACACAGACAAATTTGACTGAAATACCATAGATTGAACATATGTACGTGTTACGTGCATATTAAATCTATTGTACTACTACTAAATATAATTATAATCCAGTATTTATACCACAAAAATGATTCTTTTATAATAAATAAATGAATACAGATTATTGTATTATAGTGTTCAACACTGAGTACCTGAACAATCAACAAAAGTTAACATTTTTGCTCTTACGATTATGATAATGAAATAAACAGGGTATAATCATTGTTTATATAAATATTATAATATGTATAATAAATGGTACAATGTAATAGCTGTGACGATACAGGAGTAAAAATATGTAAATAGTTCATTTTGGCATTCTGCTGTCTATTAGGTGTAGAGTGTTGACGCTAGATGGCTCTGCTTGTGGACTACTATTAAGCCGGTAACTTCGATGGACGATATGAAATACTTACAATTGACTTAGAATGTTAGCTATTGATTAAAAACAACTAGGCATGGTCTAATGCAAGTAGTGTGCAAAAATAAAGTATATTAGATATTAAGTGTGGGGACAAAATTACTTTTGACAGGTTTACTCGATTACTTTGGGTAACTCCGGTTAACTCACCGCTGATGACCATAAGTATGAGTCGTTTGCAGATTTACAATTAAGATCATACTTCACAGGATCATTTCTGTAGTATGCATCGTCCCCTCCAGGTGCAAATCTGGAGTCGTCGTCAGCCACGATGATGAGACTAGTTCATTCGCCAGAGCGTGAGACTGCTAGTGGTCTACCATTAATTTGGTAACGACCATCTAGCGACGATGATCGCAACCAGTTCGCTGGAAGGTGTTTGAACAGTCTGAGTGGTTCCCAATATAACAGTAATAAAAATTTGTATTTCCTAATTGTTTCCTCCCAAATAATTGTTAATTGACTCAGTCTAAATTGAATAATAATAATTTAATTAAATGCTTTGACCGACGCATCAACGTCGAATTTCTTCTAAACAAATTTACAAATATGAAATAAAAATATATTTCCTTTAATCATCAAAATGGCGAGAAGTACTGTTTTTTTTAGTCTAGCCACTTAAATGAGCAATCTAGCGAATGCTTTTCTAATTAATGTAAATTTACCCACCATTATTGTAAGTCGACTGTTGTGGTAACAAGTGTCCAAAACTATTTGTTTATACTTTAGAGGCCTATGGTTGAAATTATTCTCTGGCCTTTGCTAACGGCAGTCTGCACAGTCTACGCGTTATCAATTAATCATGATATTATTAATCATATTTTTCAAATAATAATTATTTTATGAAATAAATACTTTGATCAATAATAATAACTATTTTAATATCGGTTAATGGGTTTTAATTAGTATTCAAAACCCAAGTTTTATCTCGGTTCTGTTTGCTTTGCGATTTAAACCAAATTAATGACTGTAAGTTATATATATATCTCTATATTATAGATAAGAAAAAGTGAGGCAACCGGTGATAAACAGTACATGCTTTCGTCCAACAGGTTATTATTATAGAAATGGTAATTTTGTGGTTATTTAATTTAAATTCGTACACTAGTCACTGACCGGTAACATTCCATTTAGTAGTGTATTTTTATGTGTATAGTGTTTGAATACTTAACGTTTTTTACACAATGTCCGAGACAAAAATCTTGTCAGGCACAGAATTGGCCAAGTAATATTCAGTGTTTATCTAAATACATATTATAATTATGCGATGATTTAATTTATGATTTTGCACTAGGGAAATCAAGATATCCTTAAAAGAACAAACGGATGCTTTAGCAACCAAGTTCAATGGATTCTGTCCACAATTAAAAATTATTCAGGTAGGTGGTCGTGATGATTCTAATGTTTACATCCGAATGAAATTGAAAGCGGCTTCTGAAGTTGGTGTAAATGCATCCCATGTATCTTACCCCAATACAATAACACAAAATGAGGTAATTTAGTTTAATAGACTTATCAAGTAATGTTGACAAATGAACCAAAATTACTTTTTACAGCTTTTGGCTGAAGTAAATAAATTTAATGCCGATCCAAATGTTCATGGTATAATTGTCCAAATGCCTTTAGACTGTGTGGAAAATATTGATTCACATTTAATTACGAATGCAGTTTTACCGGAAAAAGATGTTGATGGGTAATTTGAATTATGATTTGATGTTTTTCTGAATTTTCTTCAAAGATCAAATTGATTTCCTAAAAATTAACATTTGTTTTATGTTACAGTTTGAATATTATAAATGAAGGCAGAGTAGCTATTGGTGATTTGTCTGGCTTAATTCCTTGTACTCCAAATGGTGTTATTCAATTAATAAAAAAGTAAGTATAGTATACTATAATGAAATACATTTATGTTTATCTATTAAATGTTGATCTTTCCAAATATTATTTTAGGTGTGGCATAGAAATCGCAGGGTGTAAGGCAGTCGTGCTAGGACGTAGTAAAATTGTTGGTGCCCCTGTTGCAAACTTATTGTTATGGCACAATGCTACAGTTACAATTTGCCATTCTAAAACTAAAAATATTAGTTTAGAAGTAAATAAATATATATTAAAAGTAGTTTGTTTTTTCTATTTTCTTTTAATGTTTTCCAGGTATCCAAGGCTGATATTTTAGTAGTAGCTATTGGTAAGGCAGAATTTGTACAAGGATCATGGATCAAACCTGGTGCCGTAGTTATTGACTGTGGAATCAATTCAATACCTGGTAAGTTATCTATAAAATATCCATTTTCATTTAATTTACTTACTTTCACTTATTAGACACCTCGAAGAAATCTGGTTATCGTTTGGTGGGAGATGTCCACTACCCGTCAGCTTCTCAAGTGGCTGCTGCAATAACTCCGGTTCCTGGCGGTGTTGGTCCTATGACAGTAGCTATGCTATTGTCAAATACTGTACAAGCTGCTACGAAAGTCATTAATTCAATTTCTAATAACCAATGGAATTTAAGTGATCTCCCTCTAAAATTAAAACGACCTGTGCCTAGGTAATATTATAGCTTTAAAAAATATGTCTGTGTTCACAGGTTAAATAGCGATAATTCTAAAACTAGACATTTTTATGTCATAAGTATCATTGTTTTGGTTTAAAAAAATAACCTAAATTTGCAGTGCCGAATTGAGAGAAAGTGGTCAACTTTGTGTGTCCTTAAATAATAATATTATCAATCCCCACAATACCTGCAATATCTGTAAATCTGAAACTACTTGACCTGTGACCACGTATATATTACTACTGTATATTTATAACCCTATTAAACTCCAAATATTGTTGTGTTTAGTGATATTGAAATTGCTAGAAACCAAGAACCTAAGGATATAATGCAGTTGTCTAAAGAAGTAGGCTTACTTGATTGTGAAGTAAGTTTGTATGGTAGAAAAAAAGCCAAAATCGAACTATCTGCTTTTGAGCGTTTAAATAATAGGGGAAATGGAAAATATATCGTCGTTACTGGGTATATATCTTTAGTGTATTAGACTGATTGCTTGATTTTAATAGTTAATATTTTTTTACTATTTAAAATTTTAGCATTACTCCAACTTCTCTTGGTGAAGGAAAAAGCACTACAACGGTTGGACTTGTACAAGCGTTAGCAGCACATTGTAGTAAAAATACGATAGCCTGTCTAAGGCAACCATCTCAGGGTCCAACATTTGGCATCAAAGGTTTGTAAAACGAAAATATATAACCTATACACTTATATTTATATATGTTGTGTATATATTGTTAATAGTTTTTGTATGTTTTAAAATGTGTAGGTGGTGCAGCAGGAGGAGGATATTCTCAAGTGATACCGATGGAAGATTTTAATCTCCATTTGACTGGTGATATACACGCCATTACCGCAGCAAACAATTTGATGGCAGCACAAATTGACGCTCGTATGTTCCACGAAGCTACCCAAAAGGATCAAGCTCTGTTTGACCGGCTCGTGCCTACAGTAAATGGAACACGAGTGTTTACACCCATACAATTAAACAGACTTAAGAGACTTGGAATTGAAAAGACTGACCCAACTTCATTTTCATCAGAAGAGATCAATAAATTTGCAAGATTGAATATTGATCCAGATACTATATCTTGGAATAGAGGTATTTAATGTTTTTTGTTAAAAAAATAATTTAAAATCTAACTATGATATTTTACTGTGTTAGTAATCGATACAAATGATCGTTTTCTCCGTAAAATAACAATTGGCCAGTCAGCAACTGAAAAGGACCGTACCAGGCAAACGTGTTTTGATATCACTGTGGCCAGTGAGCTAATGGCTATCCTGGCATTAGCTAAGAACATGAACGACCTAAAGAACAGGCTAGCCAATATTGTTGTAGCTCAAGACACAAATGGTAATAACGTCACTGCTGATGATTTGGGTATGACTGGTGCAATGGCTGTGTTACTGAAAGACGCTGTTAATCCAACCCTAATGCAGACACTTGAAGGAACACCTGTATTAGTGCACGCTGGTCCTTTTGCCAATATTGCACATGGAGCCTCTTCTATTTTGGCCGATTTATTGGCTTCAAAATTAGTAGGCCCTAATGGTTATGTAGTGACTGAAGCAGGGTTTGGATCAGATATTGGTAAGATTAATTGAAAAATGATATATATTTTTTACAAACAACTAATTTTAAAATAACAAGGACAATATACTTGGTTTGTTTAATTATTGAAAATACTATATAATTATCTCACCCGTGGTTTATAAGCACTGCAGTTGAGTTTGTGTGACTTACTTATGTTAGGAAGGAATTAAAACTCTCGTATAACTTTTCATAAAAATTAAATGAGATGATTTACTTATTACGAAAAACAATTTTAAATTAAATTATAATGGAACTTATTCTTAAAAGTGAATTACATTAATAAGGATTTTAAAAATATCTTAAGAATGGTATTTTATGTATAATATGTATGCTTATATATAATTTTTTTTCCACATTTTAGGAATGGAAAAATTTTTCAACATTAAATGCAGATATTCTGGTCTAATACCAAATGCAATAGTGTTGGTGTGCACAGTTCGAGCTTTAAGAATGCACGGCGGAGCTGCTGTTAGTATTGGAAAATCAGTGACCATCGAAGAAAGAGAAGTATTTTAATAGAGATCATTGTCTAAAAACACAATTTATAAATTGAGTTATAATTCTTCATAGGAAGCATTACGTAAAGGGGTGGCCAATTTGCAAAAGCACATTAGTAACGGTGTTAAGTATGGTGTCCCTATAGTAGTAGCAATAAATGCTATGAAAACAGACACAGAAAACGAATGGAAAATTATTAAAGATGCCAGTCTTCAGGCAGGTGCAGTAGATGCTATTTTAAGTACTCATTGGGAAGACGGTGGATCAGGAGCTGTAAAATTAGCCCGAACCGTTATCGATGCTTGTCAACAGCCATCACAATTCAAGTACATTAGTGGTTTACTTATTAACTTGTGTTTAGTTAAACAACATAATGTTTATTTAGGTTTTTATATCAATTAAATATGCCATTACAACGCAAGATAGAAACAATTGCCACAGAAATGTATGGTGCCAAAGCTGTAGAATTTTCTGAGAAAATTCTAAACAAATTAAACATTTATGAATCCAAGGTAAAAACACACAATTTACTTTGTCTAAGCTATGAATAAAATAATAATAAATCATTTGCAGGGTTACGGTAATTTACCAGTGTGCATGGCTAAGACAGCTTTATCGTTGAGCGGTGATCCCAGTATCAAAGGTGTTCCCGTAGATTTCACTTTACCTATAATGGATGTTTATGTGTCTGCAGGAGCTGGATTTGTTGTTGCTATAGCCGGAGAAGTAAACACTGTTTTGTAATAATTAATTAATTCACACTCCTAAAATTGTTTTAACATTTTTAGATCACTAAAATGCCTGGTCTGCCAACACGTCCGAGCATCTACGATATTGACTTGAATACTGAAACCGGAGAAATAATTGGTTTGTTTTAGGTGATGTTTACTATCAGCATTGTTAATTATATCACTTATTAATTGCACTTGTTATTATTCATAATTCATAAATTTTGTTAGTATTGTTTTTTTATTAGCTATAAAAAAAAAAAAAATTAAAAAACAAACAGATATTTGGAAAATTATTTCATTGTATATAAAATTCATTAATGTAGTTTTTTCATACATCCCAGTTTTTGAGGTGATCAATTGTCAATTGTATAATAGTTAATATTATCTGACACTTTTATTATAGTTTTATATTTTGTTTTTTTATCATACGTATCTGTTATATGTTATCTTGGTCATTATTAAAAATTAGCTACATAATATTTACGACTCGTAAAAAAGAAGTTTGTTTAATTTGCCTTACAAAAACGGTACATTTTATTTGCCACAAAAACTAGCGAATTTCTTCAATTTTCATTACGAAAAGCAGTTTGTTTTTTTATTCGTTCCCGCTGAAGGTAGAATATTTGACTCTTTCATTCAATATTCATTCTCATAAAAAAAACCTAACATTTTATTAAAATATTGCAATATTATTTTAATAACTTTATTATAAACTTTACCCATAAAACAAATAAACATTTTTAAATGTTAAAAAAAAAATTAGACATAGTCATTATTCTTTGTAATGGTGTAAATCTTGATAGTTGATAGTGATATTTAAACATTTTATATGCACCTAAATAAAAAAAATCTTAAAAAATTGTTTTTAACAAGAATAACTTGACCATGAAAATGGTATTATATAGGTGTATAATATATATTCCATATATTGTTATACACAATAACAATTAAATTTAATTGTTACACTAAAAATTGATATATGACTTATAAAAAGCAGGTTACCACTATACCAGATTGCCTTAAGGTACAGCTTGACTATTTTATATAAATATCCAAAATAGGTTGTATTTGCTTATTTTGTAATCTAAACTTGATTAAACTGTAAAAAGTTTTTTTCAAGCTTTATTGGTAAAGCGTTACTTTGATTTTCTTTGTTTCCTGGGCCAAATCCTTCATATACAGTCAATTGATTAAGTATTATATTTAATTGATAATTTATATAAATTAAAAATTGATTCTAGATATAGAAAATTTGAAACTGGAATACTAGTAACATCTAAAACTTAAAATGATAAAATAAGACATTTTTAGGAGTGCTACCTTAATATTTGGCATGGTTATAAGTTATCTAATATAACAAAATAAACAGCCTTTTTTTGTTTAACACTACAATTAGCATCAGTTAAATTAATTATTAGAATTCTGCTGGTTATTTATTGATTTTCAATATGCAGGAATCGCAATACAAATTGAATTAAAAACCAAAACGACTTGAAGAAATAAAGTACTTTGGTTAATTAATGTAACATTCATTTATTTTTGACTAAACATTTTTGTTATCTATAATTTTTGTACAAATGGTTCTATTTAATTCTGATGGCTGCCCTGAGTCTAGCCGACCTGCTTCTAGGATTTTCTTCAACTTCCTCAATAGTTGGCGTAACTACATGTTTATTTACTTGATGCCAACAAGAATCGTTGATGACATTCAAAAAATCACTGGTTTGCAAATTCATTGTGTTGGTACTATATTTTAAAGGTAAAATGTTGGCTGAATTTTCATTTACGTTTCCTTGTATATGACGCTTAACTATTGTATCTTCAAGCGAATGAAATGCAATAGTTACCAGAATACCACCAATTTTTAAGTAGCGGTTGGCTAATAGAATTCCATGATTGATCTCGTTCAACTCATTGTTAACAAAAATACGTAACGCCTGAAATATTTTTGTAGCAGGATGTGCTGGTCTCTTCAACATATCATGTCTTCTGTCTTTGTCACATACATTTTCTACCAATTCACAAAGGTCACGAGTAGTTTTTAACGGTTTGAATAAATACCTAAACACAGATAATAGTAACACATCAGCAAATTTTACGATTTTGGAAGACATTTTTTGTAATTTACCTGGATTCAATAACGGCATTAGCAATTTTCTTTGAATGTTTCTCCTCGCCATAAACTTTAAAAATTTTGTACAAATCCGATTGATCTGCTACGGCTAGAACATCTGCAGCTGTTAATGATTGTTCTTCAGGATCCATTCTCATGTCTAAAGGTCCATTCTTGCTAATCGCAAAACCTCTGGAAGCTGTATCGAACTGCATCGAGGAAGCACCATAATCGAATAGAATACCATCAAAACTGTTCATTGTACAACCTAATCCTTTCAATAATGTAGGCAAGTCACTGAACTTGCCTTTTAAGGGCACTACTCTATTTGGATAACGTTCGGAAAGTGTTTGTGCTATAGAACAAGCTGCAGGATCTCTATCTAAGCAATAAACAACAACAGTCTCATTTTCTTGTAAAATTCGTTCTGTATGTCCTCCTGCGCCAAACGTCATATCAATAAAGCGGGACCCATTTTGAGGAGCAAGATATTTGGTTGCTTCCTCCAACAACACTGGCTTATGAGGCCGATTGCTTAACTGACGTATTGTCTTTGTTTTTGAATTTAAAGAAAGTCCTCTTAAGAAGACCCTCATGCTGCATATAATCTAAAGCTTCTTTTGATAGTACAGATGTACAATGTTGAGCACTGAGCCCGCTGGCGGACGAATGTATTTTACGTGGATATTTATTGCAGTAGTAATTATCAGATAAACGTTTCAATGATTCATACTTTTTCATACACAACACTGCATCGCCTTTAAACGAATCGCCCAAGCTGAACGCTACACTCACTTCTTTACGAATGTACTCGCCGAAATCTCTGAAATAAAATTAACGAAAACCCATAAATTTCTTGTTAGTAATAATAACGTTTTACAACTATTACCTTCCAGGCTTACTAGTGTCTAAAGGCCACTTTTGCAGTAATTTCAAATAGTTTTTATAAAGATTAGCCATGTGATCATAAGAGAGTACACATTTGCATGAGATTTGAAGCTGCGGGTAAAAAACACAAAACTTAAAAATCAGACACAGATAAAGTATTGATATAGTTCAAACAATGTGGAAGTCTGTAAAATTAAAATATTATATTCATCGGCTAAGCAGTAAGAAATGGTCTACATTACTTTTGAGTTTGACTTATCGGCAGGCAGCTGTTATCATAAAATTTCAAAATTGAATTGTGATAACGCCATATTGTGTAATATGCACAACAAGGTGGATTTATCCACCTTGATGCACAAATATAATATATATATATATGAGTTGGGGGTAGTTCTTCCAAAAAATGATAACGCGTGATAAGAAATAAATGTTACATAACCCATAAAATCTGTAATACTACAGATAGTACCAACATCGATTTTACTAAAAACCCGCCAAGAGAAATTTCGTATTTTAATATCAAAAACATTGCCTTTAGTTAGGTTCTTATCTTTATTGCAAATTGTAGTTCACGATTAAAAATAATATGGTTGCCCAACGAGCAATATCGCCAACGGCGTAAAAACGGCCATTAAAGTACTCCTAGTAAATCAGACAGTCTTGTGGCGCTCTCTAGTATTTTAATTCTGCAACTACCAAATCATTTAAACATAGCGCGCGAGTTTCAAATATTGATAATGTAAAAATATTACAAAATGTATATTTATTTTTAATTATATTTTGACATTATATTAATATATTATTACTATAAATAACTCGCTTAATTTTGGTTTTAAAGTAAAAGCACCCATTATAAAATTAAAAGAGAACAATATTCCGGAGGGCAAGACGGTGCGTTTTTTTCATTATTCTAAGTATAACGCTCAATACACAGTTTAGAAATAACGACTATTTTAACATTTTTAAATAACTGTAACTTTTCAAAAAATTAATTTTTAAAAAAAAAACGAACCGTCTTGCCCTCCGGAGTATTGTTTTCTTTTAATGTTATAATGGGTGCTTTTACTCTAAAACTAAAATTAAGCGAGTTATTTTTAGTCTGCTTAAACATGTTTTTACCACTGAAAATCATAGGTGCACGCCCTCTTCAGTAGCTAAAAATTGAAAAACAAAATTAAATTTTTATAAACTTCATTAAAATTGTATGCCGACTTGAAGTCAAATTAAAAAAAAAATTTTGTTTAATTCTGACACACTAAAAAATACATTTTTGTTTAATTCGGACACACCTGAAATCATACTTTTTATTCATATATATATATATATATATATTTTAAATGTAAAACTTTTTTTTAAATGTTATAAACCAAAAGAGTAGGTAGTTTGATGTGTAAAAATAAAAAAAAAACATTTTGAAACATTGAGTTAGTATACAAATAAAATGAAATTTATAAAATTTTGAATTTGTTTTTTAAATTATTACAATTATTGATATATTATAAAATAAAAATACTTAATAAATACCTAAATCGAAGCACAAGGTGGAGCTAATAATTAATATGTAATTATAATATTTTATTCAAAATTAAAAAAAAAAATTGTTTCTTAAACAGACAATCGTGATAAATTTTGGTTTTATTGGGTTCCCAGTTTGACGATTTCTATAATATAGTCTTTTAGCGATCTATTAGTAAAAAATGGATGATCGTATGAAATGTTTTCTTATAACCTATTTTGTAGGCAATTTAATTTTATAAAATAAAAAATTAAATAATTAATTAAAAAGTTTTATACTTAATGTATTTAATAGACACGCATTAGGGAACGAGTGGGCGGGTCTCAGTCGTCCATCAACAACGTACCAGGGACGTGAGATTTATTGGCCATTATTTGTCAATATATATTTATTTGACGTCATAAGGTTTCTATAGTAAGTAGGTATTATTATTATAATAATATATTATATGTTATTCTAAGTTTTTTGTCTACCGAGTTTTATTTCCCAAAAACGGGCAGACAAGCACTTGTATAATAAGGTCACAGGACTCAATACGTGAAGGTTTGTCGCCATTGGTTTAGTATGGCGACAAAATCTTCGTCGAAAGCGACAAACATTCGAGAATCTGCCCCCCTGTGCTACTAGGCGGGCCGCAGTCGTAGGGGATCCATTCGGGGTGAACCACTGAAGCCAAGGAACACCTGTCCCATGCACTTAGTGCATGGCATTCGCTATGACGTTAACTAATTGTGTTTAATCATCTATTGCGGAGTTTTTTAGCTTTTACAGCGGTACCGTTTGGCGTCAGACAGCTTCAGGCTCGAGATGAAGGCAAGCATCGGCGATGGATCTGCTCCTGCTGGCCCTCTGGAATCGCCTACGAGCCGAGAGAGAAGACTTCCTCGGTCGCAACTGACACAAGTTTCTGACAGGTCACTTCTTCTTGAGACCGCTAAAGGCCAAGGAACACCTGTCCGTGCACTTTGTGCATGTCGAGTACTAATCACACCCGAGCCCGCTTTCCCCTCTACTCGTCCGACAGGCCGCGCTCGCCGCCCAACCGGACACTTCCATTGTAGATGGATACACGGACATTTTTATGGATACACCTTGTTTTTAACCTTTTGTGTAAATAATAAAGAGCAACCGTGATACTTAAACCCGGCGTATATTTTATTTTCACAACAATTACCCTTTTTGTCTATCACGATTTCAACATTTGACGCAGTCGGTATTTTCAGGACCTAAGGAAATTTAAATAATATATTATTTATTTTTTTATTTTCTGCACCCCCTTAACTCTAACGAAGTTAGCTTAGCTGGACCTTGAGGTTAGTCTAAGCTCCCACCGTAGAGAGTTTTTTTTCTCAAAAAAATTACAAATTTGGGGTATTTTAACGCTTAAAAGCGAAAAAATTAATAGGGTTTCTGTATAGAGTTGTACCCGAGTGTGCTGCGGATTTATGGTCCAATGAGGAAGATCCCGCTGCCAAAAGTCTTAATCAATGTTGCAAGTCTGACCAAGACACACGGTCTGCTGCATTGATTATGAAGGCCCCAATGGACGGGTGAAGTTTCCGCAAAACGGAGTAAACGGCCGTAATGGACCGAAGTAACCAGGAAAAGATATTCTGTTCCATTTTGACCAATTTTTATTTGTGTGTTTACAAGACACGACATGTAGTTTTGTGTATTTTTACTATTGCGATTGTTCGCATTTTGGAAACCAATTAATTATACATTTTTGTCGCCAATTTTTGGTAGCATTATATGATAAAAAAACACCTGGCATTTGGTAATAACCAAGTCACCAAGGTAAATTTATAAATTAATAGCTGATGGCGAATAACTGCTCAAATTTGAAATTGGACAAAAACACAACTCAAAAGACAATATTTGTATAAAATATATATTCTATCCATATAATATATTCTAAGTGAATGTGATTAAACTGCGATACGCATTGGTAATAAGAACTGGTCGATTGAGAAACACTTATTGAATTATTAGGGATTTTGAAAAATGTTTTCATACTATATAATATATTATACTATAAAATAAACAGGATACAGGAGTAAAAATATGTAAATAGTTCATTTTGGCATTCTGCTGTCTATTAGGTGTAGAGTGTTAACGCTAGATGGCTCTGCTTGTGGACTACTATTAAGCCGATAACTTCGATGGACGATATGAAATACTTACAATTGACTTAGAATGTTAGCTATTGATTAAAAACAACTAGGCATGGTCTAATGCAAGTAGTGTGCAAAAATAAAGTATATTAGATATTAAGTGTGGGGACAAAATTACTTTTGACAGGTTTACTCGATTACTTTGGGTAACTCCGGTTAACTCACCGCTGATGACCATAAGTATGAGTCGTTTGCAGATTTACAATTAAGATCATACTTCACAGGATCATTTCTGTAGTATGCATCGTCCCCTCCAGGTGCAAATCTGGAGTCGTCGTCAGCCACGATGATGAGACTAGTTCATTCGCCAGAGCGTGAGACTGCTAGTGGTCTACCATTAATTTGGTAACGACCATCTAGCGACGATGATCGCAACCAGTTCGCTGGAAGGTGTTTGAACAGTCTGAGTGGTTCCCTAAAAAACTGATAATAAGTAGATGCTGAATATGATTGGATTGCTTAATGCATTTGATAGTTCTACTTATATAACTTAAAAATGTATCTATAAAATATATGCTAACTGAAATTTGAATGTAAAAAGTCACTTTCAAACAAACGCTTCGGTGTGAGATCAAATCATCGTTAAAGCTTATTAAGGATGTGCATACAATTTTTTTCGAGTACATGCATTTATATTAAATTTAGTATATTATACTAAAATACATATTCTATAATCAATGGTATCGGGGTGGATGCAATTAGGGTTGATCGTTCCACTGCAATTTATAATTTGTTTTCACCCATAAATCGTGTTGGTAATATTATTAACTATGATTAAATTATGATAATCTGCTGATTCTATAAAATACTTTGGTGTAACTATTGTTATATATTTAAAATGGGGTATTCAAATTGAAAATACTATAAAAAAAGTTAGAAGCATGAGAATGAATCATTATGCATTTGCATAGTCAGTTTTCTTTTATGGAATAGCTGTTCGGGAAAGAGCTTATGATACGCATTTAAAAAAAAAAACTCCCAACAACGATAAATTCCATACTTAGCCACTTAGGATAGCTTTCAAATAACCCTATTATATAAATACTGATATAATATTCAATACCTACAATTTACTTAAATCTAAAACAACTTCATGCAGAAGAAATATGATGTAAATTGTATCACTCCATTCTCCAACCATAAAGATTTTAGTTTTAATCATGCATGTAGTAAACGTCAAATCGTTAAAAATGTTTTTAGAATTTTTAAATGTAATAGTGAATTTGGTAAAATGAATCCGTATTATATTGGTTTGAAACTCTGAAATTCTTTGTGTATTGATATAAATAGTTTCCATAGTTTTAAGTTATATCAAAAATATGTCAATTATAAATTACCAGTGTCAAAATTCTAAAAAAATGTATGTTTAACACATCAACTTACTAATAATTATTATAATCTATTTATTTTGTTTTTTGTTTATTCTTATAATATTGGTATACTATACTGTTATAAACTTAAAAGCTCATTTGCCATAAGTTACAAAAAGTGAGATTGGCTTTACACTTGACATACAAAATTATAGATCTATCTATCTATGCCTAACAAGTATTTGCAATTATTTACTATTTAGTAAATTTAAAAGTTAATAGACCAACAATAGTAATTCAATTATTTAACATGTTTATTATACATTTTGAAAAGTTTAAAACATATATACAGTAACCATATAAATTGATAAATTTGATTGAAAGAATGTTGTAAAAATGATTTCCAAAAATAAAAAAATTCTATTTATATATATATTATATTGATCGCATTCAAAGATAATGTATTGTAGGCAAAAAATGTATAACGTATACAAATGAATTATATTTTATAAATGTCCCGTTATGGTATTACATCTGCTCGCCATGGTTGATCGTTTATCGAGTATGGAGTTAACGGCAAGTCAAATGGTAGCGGAAATGGTATTGTTCTTCCATGTTGTGTCTTATCCAATGGAAATGTATCACATCCAATCTAAATTGTATTTTTTTCAAAGTAAAAAAATATTCATGGTAAATACAAATAAGTTAGATGTATTAATCGATTGTAATTATACCAAAAATTGAGGTAAGAAAAGAACGCCAACTTCTTGTGACATAATATAATTGCAACGATCAGATTTAGTTTCTCTGCCCCAAGCCGCTTTCGATAAATTAGCGCTAGTCAATAGAAACCAGGACATTTCAGTACAACAGGGCGACACTCGGCAATATGACTTAATGTGAGGTACGGCTCTTGTTCGGTTTCGCGAATGACTTCTCCACTTACTGTAAAACATTCAAGTTAATATAAGTACATTATACATTGACATTATGCACTAGTACCACATATAATTTTTAAGCCAAGTCTGATTTTTGTGGACATTGTCACTGTATGGTAAACAGAAACCACCCAAAGGTCCATCCCAACTGTCTAAAACATTGTTTAATGTTGGATAAATCTATAATATAAAATACAATTTTGTTATGTTTTGTTTTTCATCAATTCTTCATTTTAGACCTAAGTCATAACAGTACAAAAAAATACAATTACCAAACTGAACGGACTACATTTTTTCGTTTTATCACTGTGGGTAGATGAAGATAAATTATATATGAATTCTGAAGTCAGCCAATCTTTTTCGCTAGCGCCTAACGATCCTATTGAAGAACACTGCGAAATTATAGGCCAGTCTGATGGAGATCCTGACGGTATATGTGCATGCGTTTTTAAAATATTTCTCAAATAAGTCTGACCCCACATCGGTTCATAGTGCTTGCCAGGGATACTCGATATGAAAAATACACTGAATTCAAATTATATTGGGATATTTTTAATACATTTTAAGTTAAAAGAGCACACATACATACTTAGCACTTCTGAAGTCACATTTCTGTATTTTATCTATCCACGAATCTAATAACCGCAAATTGTATGAACGAAAATATCGCAAAATATCATTTTTGAAACCAGTTAGGGAATCTCCATTATGTTTATCGCTATCTTGCAGTAAAGGAAATTTTGGGCTGACCCAAATTCTGTCAGCAAAATAAACATTAAAAGACTAAATTTAAATATTGAATACTAATTATTTACATGCACATACCCTTGAGTTAAGTTAGTCCAGTCTTCCTCCCGTAAATTTGCAGTCATTACTACAACACGTACAGATCCATCAGAATATGCAAACATTGATAACTTACTGTAAATATTGAAATTGGCCAGATGTTAATATTATTTATGATAAATTGCTTCTGTTATTGAATTGAACTATTACTAACGTATGATGATGTCCAAAGGCGCTTTGAGGTTTAACTTTTGTGTATCTTAAATTTGGAATTTTCTTCATGGCTTTTAGAGCATCTAAATCTTCATCACAGTGTTCGTATAACAGTGAAACTGTTTTCCCTCTAATGAATGAAATATACAAAAAACAATAGTAAATACAATTACTTATAATTCTAAAAAAAACATGTTTACTATTAGATCATCACCTTTGTTCAGTAAGGAAGTATTGTGCAAAGAGCCAACCGAGTTGCACCATAAAGTTGATATGAAGTGATTCTGTTAAATCTCCTAAGCTTTTGTCTAAAAGTTCTAAGCACAAATATACATTATTTAGATGTTTTATCATTTGATATGTATAAAAAAAAAATATTGTGTTCTTGTACCTGGGAATGATAAAGTTAAATCTTCATCGTGTGTTGTCGGATCAGAGTCAACGGAAGACAAAAAAAAATTAAATGGTACAGAACGTTGCAATTTATCAATTACTGTTCCTTTGGTTCGTTTCCATACGTTATCCGTATAGCAATCGGGGCCCGAAGCCTTGCGTTTTTGTGAACTAGATGACATACTTAATTTCCATTCGCTTTTTAATTGAATGTATTCATAAAAAACAATATTGCATTCATAGCGAGTTGACTGGCGATGCTAAGGTTAAGTAAATGTACATCATGCTTTTGTAGTTTTATAATAAAATAAAATAAAGTAAGTAGTAACTAAAATTTAACTCTCAAACGAAAAACGGTTGGTGACATAGTGATTTTATTATCACACAATCACGCGTTATCATTTTTTAGGACAACTGACCATCAGCTACAGCTGCAGCTGCTCTACCTAACATGATAGCTTATCAAACGTCCACTTTTTCCAATCGTCATTTTCCTCACAAGACAAATATTTATTGGAAGTAGTGAATTTGGTAAAGTTGTAACTTGTAGGTCTTTTAAAACAATTAAGAGCGAATTACACTTGATTTTCAAAATTAAATTTCTAAAAGCTATACTAATACTGTTTGGCGATTTCTACCCTTTTATTTCCTTCAAATTTGTCTGCATAATTTGTTTTGCCGTAATAAAAAAATCAAAATTGAATGCACCTCCCTTTTAAAGGTCTTTCTGCTGCACACATAACTGGTAGGTGTTATTACTATCAAATAATAATTATGTTTAAAAAAATTTAATTATACTTTTTTTTCCTAGTAAAATTATAAACGTACAACAAACGTTGGCAAACCTAATACAAAAAAACTTACAATACATTCAGTTATTTATTAACTAGATAGATATAGTCTTTTTTTCCTAACTGGTTAACAAATGTTTATACTTAGTGAATTCTTACTCGCAAGTCGCAGTTACATAGTTCTACAAAATTTCAGATTTGTAATAAATATAAAAAATTTAAGTACACACAAACCAAACAACTTGTAATAGTTTTATCCATTTTTCAGCCGTATTAGATTACAACAATTTATTCAGTTAAGTTTTGACATAAAAGGTTAACATCATTATTTTATGATCAGTAGGCTTAAGGCCGTTTTCATATATTTTCCCAGTAACAAAAATTTAGCTTATCCGCCTGTAGACGTACAAAATTTAGTTCATACAGCACAACCAAAGAAATGGTGTACAGAAAAATAAAAATGTTGCAAAAAAATGCCAACGGCACGTAGTGTTCCCAAGCGGTCACCCATCCAAGTACTAACTACGCCCGACGTTGCTTAACTTCAGTGATCGGACGAGAACTGGTGTATTCAACGTGGTATGGTCGTTGGCGAAGGTAATGAGTTTATTTTACTTATTTAAACACAATACTATATCATTATTCTTTTTTTAAATAAATATGTTATTACATTATTTGTTGATAAACGAGCATACATACCTATTATGTTGATCGATGAATCAATTTTGAATTTTGGCTATTAAGAGTCATGACAAAGTTTGTAAGTTACAATTATTTACCAATTACCAAGTTACATCATACGACCACGCAATAAATTATAAAGGAAAAAAAACTGAATTTTGAAATTTAAAAAGTTTTGGTTTCCTAGGAACCATTTAGCAAGTGGTTACAATTTTTTTTTTGATAATTGATTTAATTTTGCAAAATTAAACGTCGGTTGCTAAGGATTTGTTTTTTTAGCAAATATTTCATGTGTATATTTTGGTTGTCATGGCGTAATATTTTTGGAATTTCACATTTTTCATAATAATTTTGGTTGCTATTTAAAAATATTAAGAAATTTGGGTTTGTTTATAACAATAGTCGTCAAGGGTCTTTTTAAAAATAAGTACGCTGTACGATAAACACATTGGCTAGGTACGCCATGCATACTTTTTGTATATTAACAATAAGTATATAATTGGTCTTTAATTGTTGTTTTTAATTAGTTACTACAGTAAATTAACATATTGTAAATTGATCATAATATTCCATACCAAGCCCGCAATGATTTTCGAAATAATTGAAAGAATTTATATTTTTCAAAAAATATGAAATGTACAACACCCGTAGGTAATTTCGTAAAATATTATAAATATTTTTGACATATCCAAAATAATTTTGTCTTTTCAAATATATGGATAGTTAAATATAGTATTAATAAATGTGATTTTTAGACGTTTATTTGGGCCGTTCCCAGTGGTACCCAACCACTGAACTGAATACATGGAACGCGCATAATGCATATTTTCCATATAATAAAAGTGACCCGCCTCGGAGGCCGCCATTTTGAGTCCGTTTTCTAATTTGACTTACCGTGTCTAACTTTATTTAGTGATTTTCGATGATGGTTTCTGACTTCATATTGCTGATATCATTTTTTTAACCGGTGCTAAAAGATAATTCGATGTTATCAGATTTTTATCATGGAATAAATGGTATGTCACACCGTTTTATCCATGACAGGACACAAAATGGCGGAATCCGTGTGTAGCCAATTTATTTTCACAACGCGCGTTTTATGTATTCAGTTCAGTGTACCCAACCCGCAGTGGAGCAAGCCCCGAATTTCCACCATCTGTAATTAATGCAATTACTAGTTATCTATCAACAGATATCCAGTAGTAAGTATGATACCACTAGGCACAGATTCCATGAAAATACTAAATCTGTGATAATACTATAATGGATGACTGTACTTGGTATCGAGAGAGAATATAAACGGCTCGCGCACCCGAATCATCACGCCGGCCATTTGCGTTCTCTCACGGCACGGAGTGTAAATCATTAAATGACAACGTTATATTTATGTAAAAACTAGCGCACAAAAGTAGAAAACCAACATCGAAAAACCTTCAATAACCCAAAATTTGTACGAAAACGTGCTTAGAGGTGCTCTACTCTAATTACTTATAAATACCACGTATAATATATATATATTTATATTTTAAACATAGGTGCAACTAGGGGAGGTGCTAGGGGAACTTTAGCATCCCCAAAAATTGAAACACCAATCCTTGATTTTTACGCTTACAGTTTTAATTATGTACATACTCAGTTAAATTTTGTTTTTTTTTAGAATACTTTTGATTCTAAATATTTTATTCTGGGTATGTCTAATGGTGTGAAGATGAGAATTATGTTTAGTTAGGTATACATAATTTGAAGATGTGTTCAAATTACAATATCAATATATCATACGTCCTTGTCTATTAATAAGTTCACCATAGTATAACTAATTTAAAATAATGGTTGTTTATTTTCAACATTTCTGCCATGTGTGCCATTATAGACATAATAATACTATATAGATACATAATTTTCCCCATAAGCCTGTAGCACTATTAGCTTAAAACGTTTACAGTAATTTATATGTCAAAAACGGTCGTCTAGATACTGTTTATTCGCAAACGAGTATAAATTACTTTTTGAAAAAAATTTTAAAGATATTCATCAATAGAACAAAAGTTGTCAGGCCTTTGTGGGACATCTGTATTATAAGTACATCTGTTATAACACCACCTCAATAGTGTTGACTTTAGTGTACCTTGTTAAATGACTTGAAAACAATAAATATTAGTTTGGCCGTGTGTGTTTTTGAAGTTTTATCAAAAACAACGTTCGGTAAATACAACGTCTGTGTTAGTACACTACATATGACAATTGCGGTTCGAGCACTTGCCAGGTTAAGTTAATAATTGTTGCTGGGTTTCTTAAGGCGAAAAGCACGATCATGAGACCTGTTTTGTGGTGGTTTGCTGTCACGTCAATGGCGATCATGGGTACATGTGTGGTCGACGGAAATTTGGTTTTGCTTTTGCAGCAGTTGCCCAAAACTTCACATTGGCAACTGGCCAAAGACGAGGTGGTGTGCGATTCGGACGGCAAGGTGAAACCCCTAAGAAATGTTCACGTCGAAGCCGTCAGGTCCAGTAAGATGGAAAATTATACTAGAGCTTATGAATTGTACGTGTCGGCGCTTAAGGAGAGGTCGCTTAAGTACGCGGCCCTGTTGACAGCATACGGTTATAAAGCGGCCACGACGACCAACCAACAGGAGGGAAGTGACGTGGCTTGCCCAAAGGTTTTGTGCCAGTTGAAAGAAGCGTTCGAAACGATTAAAGGCGCATTCGGTCGTTGGACAAGAGGTAGAAAACTGCAACAACTCGAATGGATTAACATGCCGTCATATGTGTCAATGCCGAGCAGCCAATGCACGGTTGTACTTAAGAGCCTAAAAACTTACTTGGAAACTTTAGTGTTGAGCCGATATCCGGCACGCTTGGAGCACGACAACTCGAGTCTAATGGAACGCGCCCAAAAGGAATGTCAACTGATAGCCGAATCCAAAAACGACGGGCAAGTACTTAAGACCTACACTAGACCCTTTGACGGCAACGACTTGGCCGAGATCTATAGGTCGGTGCTGGACGAACCCACAGTCGCATTTGGAGTATTAGATTTCCTTGGGATTTTAGGAAAAGTCAACGAAGAATATAAAACAGACAGCGTGTCCGTCGATTGGGATTCAACCAACTCCGAAGAAGCTATTTCTGATGAATTATTTGATAGTCACGATAATTGACTTTTACAACCTATTAAAAATACAATAGTAAACATGTAATTCGATTTGAATGTAATGGAAAAAAAAACGGAAATTTTAATATAAATTCAGTTGTACAACTATTTTTATTTTAAGTATACGTTTTTCGTTAAAAACATACCTAGTTCTTAACAAACACGTACATGTGTTGATTGTTTGCTTTATCATTAATTCTTCGTGTCTTTATTTTTTTGTCCTTATGTCATATTTTAAAGTGTTTTAGCTAGCCCGTTGCGTAGACAAGTGTCTACAACAGATACCTTGTTGTATTTGTCACACAAAAAAACTGCACTACAACTACAAGAAATAATTACAATAATTTATAAAGATGTGAAAAAAATCCTAACTAATTGTGGAATAAGTGTTAACTTTACGTTATTACTAATTATTCTAGAGAAGCTAATAGTATGCTTCTACTTTTAATTGAGCACTATTATAAGTTGTGAAATTAACTTATAATTATATGTATTTTTATACTTACAAAAATAGTTTAAGTACCCGTATATTAATACGTTGCAATTTATCAAAAGTGAAAAAAAGATACTGAAAACCAATTTCATTTTTGTTTTCATTGTTGTACCGATTTATATTGCACAGCTGTTTTGAAACATATTTGTATTGTTTCCTGTGACTAGAAGTAAAATATATATATACGTACAACGATGAAGCATTGTTTTTAGTTTCCAATAATACTCATTGAACATTTTTTCAATTTTTTGTTTAACTTTTATTATACAGGGTTATCCATGTTTCCGATTACAGTATTGAAGGTGGCTCAAGCCAATGTTGTATTGGTTGTTTTTAAATAAAAACGTGAAAAATTTTTTTATTGGGCAGTATTAAATGCCAAGCTTAAGTGGACCCCTTCCCGTGTAACTTAATGTAAGGAACGTTAACAGTTTTGGGGGTGCTTATTTAAAATCTGTGGTTGATAAGCACACCTAACACCCATTCTAAATTGCGCCTGTGAATTGGAGCACATTACCATTAGGGCGACAAAATACAGCCAGCAGAGAACAGGGACGGCTATAAACAATAATATAAATATATACTTTATTATGTTTGGAATTATAATCAATACATATTATGATATAATAAGTTTAAAGTAAAATTTGCACTCTTTTTTTAATACACATTAAAATGTACGAGTATTAAATATTAATCATCAATTGAATACATTAAAATTTTTTTTTTTAAAAATGGTAAAAACTCTCCATTAACGTTAACACCTAAAGTTTAATAGCGTTTATGGCCTTCACAGTGGGCTTTCTAGAACCTTTGCCCGTAGCACAATGGTCCGTGCAGACGTTCATTTGGACAGTGAGGTTCTCGATTTGCGCTTCAAACGCCTGGGTCCGTCTAAACATTTGCACGTAGTTCATCTGTAACTGCCTTTGGTAACACAGGACCTTTTCTTTCTCCTGGAACCACTTGAGTCTCTCCTGGTCCCAGTTTCTCCGTTCCTCGTTCAACATTTGGATTAGCTTGCCGGTATGATACTCGAGTTCTTTGAATTCATCCAACGAGTCCGTCTCGATTTCTTTCTTCGGAAACCGAGACAGATCTTCGGTGCTGCACTCGGACATTTTGCATTTGCTAAGTTCGCCTTCCACCTGTGAAGCACAAAGGTGTAAAGTAAAAATAACATTACAAAATCGCGCACAACAGCCACAGCCAAGTTCTTACTTGTTCGTTGAGTCGCCGGACCAACAAATAGAGCTGGTCCGATAACGACCGACTGTCCTCGTTGATCACGTCGGGGTCGTCCTTCACTTGGAGTTCGTGGATTCGACGTTCTTTCGCTTCGAGCTTTTGCAAAAGATCCCGGATTTCCGATTTTAGCGTGATCACTTCGTGGCCTTTGGCCGCTAGATCGTTCTGTTTGAAAAACAAATCATTTAGTCGCGGCCGAACGTCGTCGTTTCTACGCTGTATGCACACTTACTTGTGTATCTTTCAACTGCGACTTGACGTGCGACAGCTCGCCGGATTTCTGACAAAGCCCCCATTCGGTTTCTTCCAACCGGGTCTTCAACTCGTCCACTTCTCTCCTCAGGTTGCACGTTTCCGACGTAATCCGATCGTTTTCGTCTTGCAATCGTTTCTTGTCGTCTTGCAACTGTCGCGAATACGAAAATAAATAACTTAAGGCCCATTTACACGATGAGAGTACTCTTGCGATAGTACTATCTCATGATAGTGCGCGATAGGGACTATCATAGCTGTTTACACGTTGAGAGTTTTACTATCGCTATGGCGGCAATAGCTACTATTGTGATAGCAACTATCATCGTGTAAATGGGCCTTAACGAGTATCCACACTACAACCGGATACATAGGTACATGTACATGTGCCTATGTTCAAGTATAAGACCCTGGTACTTTTCTTATCTCAAATCTCAAATCTCTAATCTTTTATATTTTATCTCTATTTTTGTCTCTAATCTGTAATATATAATCTAGTATCTCTAATACAATATCTATTTTATCTCTAATCCATTTTCTCTAATTTTCTCTCTAATCTCTTTTTTTCTAATCTGTTATCTTTACTGTTATCTCTTTTCTCTAATCTATCATCTCTTATATATTATCTTTAACCCATTATCTCTATTTTTATCTTTTTTCTCTAATTTAGTATCTCTAAATACATTATCTCTATATTTAGCTCTACTCTCTTTTCTCTAATCTAGTATATCTAATACATTATTTATATTTTTATCTCTAATCTCCCCTCTCTTTCCTCCGCTGCCGCGTGTGACATCCAGCGTGTACGTTTAGGACGAATTTTTAGATCTTGACCCCCAGCGATAAAACATAATATACATGTTAATAAACACCGAATTCCTTTAAATGTAATTGCGCTATTGTTATATAATATACCTTGTAAGTTTGCTTCATCAGCATTTGTTCTAGTTTCAACGACTTTTGTGCGGCCGTTTTCAACCGATTGTCGCCCATTGTCTTGATCCTCCGCAGCTCTCTCTCCCAAGCGTTCTCTTTCTCTTGGTAAACCCTGAATATCACGTGTTCGTTGTGCTCCATCGTTTGCCGGAGATGCCTCAACTCGCGATCCCTGTCTTTCAGAGCGGTTTCCATCTCGGATAACATGGTCGATTCCGACGGAGACGGTGTCAGGTCCAATAAACTGGCTGACCCTTCGGACGCCGAACACCGTTTGTTGAGTCTCGAGAACGACTTGGAACTGTACAAACCGAGTTAGAGATATATATATTTATTATAAACTGTTTCGTCTTATCGATTGACCCGTTCAATTACCTAGGTCGATAATCTCTGTAGGAACTGTATGATGAGGATGATTTGAAATCTTCTGGTTGACCCAGCCGGAATTTATAATTTGTCTGCGCCGGCAAAGATGACATGACCATCGGAGATGCCGAACGGAGTTTTCGGTCTAACGTTCCCGACGATATCATGTTAGGTTTGTTCGATTGACGGTGAAGCTCGTTGGTGCCTATAAAAAGAAATAAGCGCATAATTATCTCGATTTTATCGAATAAAGAAATACTAAAACTATGCTAACAATAATTGTAATAGACTTTTATCTATTTCATTATAGGTACTTCTATGTTCTATTTTTCCTGCTGAATCCAATATTGCAAATACATTATTCTTATGAACCAGAAACTTGTAAGAATAAGGTTCCAGAATAAAAAAATTGAGCCCTTGTTCCTTTAATAGTGTCTCAATTTTAAAATATTAACGCAAATAATCACAAGACACTTAAAAAAACCAAGAGCCCAATTTGTTGGGGAGTTCTTGATCTTGTAAGTGTCTAATTTATTTTCAGTCACGGTCATTCTCCACTGTAATTATCAATTTCTCACTTCACCGATACCATTTTAACAAATAATAGGACATTTTTTATTGATTTAACAAATATGTCGTTAAATCTAAATATTATATTACATTTTTAAAATAACAAATGGGCATTTCAATTTAAAAAAAATATATTATTTATATATTTTAACAAATGTAATCGGTATAACTAATAAAATGTTTGTAGTTTTTTTAAAAAGTATTTTTGAATTAATAAATATTATTGTTGAAGTAACAAATTTCGGCTATGAAAATAAAAAACCGTTATTATTGTTAAATTAATAAATTTATGTTATTAAAATAAATAAAATATTTGTCATTTCAAATAAATCCTCAATCAGTTAACCTATAATATCATATTAACACTAAAATGGATAATAAGATCAACAACAGATTTTAATAATTGGTTAACCGTTAAATTAATAATGTATAAAGATGATAACGCATTTTAGCTTACTAAAAAACTATACGACATAAGAAATGTAAAACTATTTATAGAACCAAATTACATGACGCCAGATTTCAGTCAACTTCTGGATTTATAAAATAGATGGAAAAATATAAAGATCAAGGTGAATAACACATTTTAACGTTTCTTTTGTTTGAAAAAAAAAAATTATAGAAATCGTTTATTATTTCTCTTGCAATTCCAAAATTAATGTCTAATTAATCGACTTTCTTAAATTGAATGTGTTAAACTATTTTCAATATAATTTTGTGAAAAAGCGTGTAGTATGTAGTACAGTTTTGACTTCTGAATGACTTACTGCCATATAGATTTCTATGTGATGATCTAGCTAAGATCGGCGTGGAGCCATATCTTTCTCCATTGTCGGTGAATCGCATTGAACCTGGTTTGAAGGCTACCGGACGTATGACACTGCTTCCCTGCAATCATTAATTCACAAAATTATAGTAGATTCAATCAGACCACCACCGAGTGAGTTGAGCATAAATTAATATTGTGTGTTTTTTAAATTTTTTTATCGGGTAATACAATACAAGGAATACGGATGCGGATCTTAACCATTCGGGAAAGCGATTACAATTTATTCCATTTTACCTACAGCTGTAGGTATACTTCATTGAAGTAAACGTTTCTAAATCGGCCCCGAGCTATATGTTTTTCTCAGGTTATTATGTACATAATGTATTGTGCGATGCTTTTGACCGTAAAACGTTTTGTCTTTGTATGTGTACACCGTGTTATTTTTGCCTTTAAAAGCTTAAAATGTTGTTGTTCCGGTTATATCACATGCTGTGGCCATATTCCCGTTTTACACACATCCGTTCGTTCCGTCCGATGATGCACACAAACACACATTTCTATATAAAATATATATATATATAAAGATATATGTGAACTATACGCCTCGCGCATGTATTAGGAAAAATAATAAATAAAATATAAACCATAGACGGGCGCGTGCGGAATACATCTTCAAAACCAAGTTCCGGTTTTTATCATCTCGACCATTTTTTTTTTTATTCCTTTTAATATTAATAATTGAACTCGAATAAATAACACACGTGTTTGTATATCTGTATATATATATATATATATATATATATATATATATGTATATACTTGACATGCCTCGACCACCGACGTACGAGATGGCACCCCGAGGCTTGTGGCAAGGTTGTAATTTCGACCGAGAAGACGTTTTATTAAAACGAGCACGCTCACACAACCGTCTTGCCGGGGGCTAGATAAGAAAAATACACGGGCAAGTGTGTGTCTCTTTGCAATTGATACACGGGGCCTACCGCTGTTGTGCTCACTGGCGATTAACAGTATACAGAGTCATTGCTAACATTAGCATATAACTTGCCAATCATTAGATATTTTTGAAAACATTTTTTATTTTTGGAATTGCCAAAATCTTCTTACTACCTTCTAAATACTTTCTAGTTATTAGAATTTTTGATAAAAGTTTTGAAAAAATTAACTAAAAGTTCTAACTACTAAAACCGTACTTAATTTTACTTACATATATGTACAAAACATTTCACTATGATATGATAATATTACAATGACCAATTCCTATTATTAAAACTTAAATCCAAAAAAAAACAAGCGCTAAAACACTTTATATGGAACTTTATTTTAAATTTTAGTTCTAATAACATATTTAAAACCAATGTTCACATGGTACTGTTTTTAAAATTTAAAGTTTCATACATAAACAACACATTTAGAAGAGAAAATTTGTTTGTGTAAAATAAACGCAAAAAAAAAGTATACCAATTAACAATTACAAATATTTAACTTTAATAATTAATTGTGAATATGTCTTTACCTCAATTTTGAAACGCAATTAAATTTAAGATATACCTTAAGCATGAACTGTTTTTAGTCATCTATTACAAATAATATCCTTTTTAAAGTTGAACATTTTTGAAATATAAATATCAATAGAATACAGTGTAATTCGAATAATGGTAATAGGACCAATATTTTATAATAACAACGTAGAACTGTATTCACTATTATGTTGTCATTTAAAATTATGTAATATATAATTATAAAGTATAATATCTGTATGTATACCATTAACCTAATGTATGATACATGCATGTTTAAACAGCTTTTTAAATTATTTTTAATGCAATCAGTAAAAAAAAATATAGATAAAATAAATAATTTATGTAAAGACAATATGTTGAGCAATGTAATTTTGAGTGTTTTATCAGGTTATACCCAAATATTGTGTACTTTTTTATTTTTGATCAATCAACGAATATTCATTAGCTCTACTGATATGACCTAATGCGTACACGGTACACTCTGGTAGTTTTACACTATTAATTGTAATTCAGTTGCACGAGTTTCTTACACTGTAACATGCAATTAATTCAACACAGCGCTACTTTGATTCTAATTTTAATATCTATTACCATCGCTCAAATAAAATAATATATTCATAAAACATTCAAAATGATTCTTGGCGCAATAAAATTATGAAATATAATTACTAATATATCTTACTATTATAAATTATGATGTTTGTACAATGATCATTACGTTCTTGAACAATGTCCACATGTAATGCGGTAATAATTGTTCGAATAAAAAATAATGACTAGCGCTTTCTCCTCGATGTTTTGATGACAAAAAAGTGCAAAGGTTATTTGCAAACATAATCAAAACTATATTTCATCTAAAAAATACTATTGTATAGCCGCTAAAAACCGCTATAATATACTGTCGTGTAATTAAGGTTGCGATGTGTAAGTTTGAAATAAAAAATTTACTTTTACAATGATGTCTTTTGTTGTTTTTTACTAAAAAGTTCGAGTAATATCTTACCATAGTAGATATTGAAATACTACACGTTTTTTTTTTTAAGGTACTACTAATTAACAAATAGTAAAAAAAAAAAATACTTCTTTATACCGTTATTTCGGGTAAAGTTTTGGAGGTTCAACGAACATTATCTTTGTGTGTCGTCTGGTCTACTGTGTTATAAATGTTGAAATTTTGAAAACATGTTTTGGGCCTACTCAACTATATTGGGATGCTACAAAACGAGTTTGCCAAAGCGGCACATGACCAAACGATTAATAATAATTGCTCGATAGTTAGGACTTAAATTAAAGCCTGTCAAATTTGGTAAATCGCTAATCGTACACTATTATATTTTACGCTAGCAATTTCGTGGTTAGAGGGCTTAGGCAATTCTCGATTATTTATTAAGAAAAAAAATATAATAATACCTACAATCGAGTTGAGAAAGTGAGTATAAAAAAATTAATAATAATACGTTAAGAGAAAAAAACGTTTTTTATGCGTGGATTGTTGACGGTTGTGATGAAAAAAATTAACGTTTTTTTAAATGAGAGGCGGTAAAACCCCTAGGGAAAAAATATCAAAATCAAATATGTACAGAAAAAAAAATTAAGAAACTATTTCGTTTTTGGTTATAATTTAGGTGTTATATTAAATTATTTTTGATTTTTTTAAACAGATTTTAGCGTTCAAGTTAAAAATATTATTAATCGTTTTATTTAAAGTGCCTATTTGGGTTGGGATTTTCAAAATTCTTTAAATCCGCCTCACCCAAAATCTTAGAGAGGTATATAAGCTAGTTACCGTTGACGAATTTGGATGAGGTGGCCATCTCTGACACGCCATGATGGAGCACCATATCAGTTATCACAATTACCTAGTCTGGTCTTAGAGGTTATTCAAACCCGCCCCTCGCCATATAGACATACAAGCTTTGATCTTATAAACTGATTTACACCAAAAAAAAAAAAAGGATAATTAAAAAAATAAAACGTACATTGATCAATTTAATTGACAAAATACTAACTCAACCCTTATTTATATGTAAGCAAATCGGATACATTAAAGTTTTCCTAAGAAAAAAAAAAGAAATTGCCTAGTATACAACACCACTATATGTAGAGCTGTGTATCATTTGAATAAAACCTTAACTAAATAATAATCTAGGTAACACATTATTCAAGTAAAAGTTGTTCGAATAATTTTTAAAAATATTATACAAATTATTCTTTATTCAAGTAATTATATTTGAAAATATTCGTAAAAATGTAATATATTGTACGTTTAGACAATTAGACAAAACCAGTAAATATAGGAAGACAATTTTGATTCGAATAAATTGTAAAAAATGCCCCGAGATCTTCACAAGAACAACTAAAATGAATGTTCATTTATCTTATTAGGTGTCTCAACTGTGAGATGCCCTACTCAAGTCATTCACTGTCCTTTTTTTCTTTCTTTGTAGCTAACCAATTTAAACTTATTGTGCAAATTTTTGTACAGATTGTAAAAATATTTTGTCAAATAATAAAGATACATATTAAATTGTAAACAAATTATTCGAATAATTTAAAAAATAAATCTGCGGATTGGGTCCAAAAGGGCCAATTTTTTATTTTGGGCATAAACAAGTTAGTTCACTAAATACAAAAAAACTGAAATATCCTATATACACTGTGATAAAAATGACACTCTGAGGGCAAAAAATGAACTACTTATGAAGTTTGGCAAAAAAAAAAAATGAACATAGGGCCTAAAGTAAAATAAAAACTTAAAAGTTAATTTTCCCAAAGTTACAAAAAGTAAGATTGGTTCTTTTTAAACTCGAGTCAAAGAATTATTCGAATATAATTACACCATAATTATACTTAGCGAATAGGTCGAATGCGGAGTACCTAATAAAATATGTTTACAGCGATTAAAGGAAAGTTATTTTCGTCTCCAGAGAACGGTACTATATTATCAAATAAAAATACTATGTAGGTAGGTAGGTGTAGTATATTTTTTCATGAATAAATGGCACGTTATTCGGCCATTAAGAAAGAGATGTCCGAAACGTGCTCACGGCTGTTCTCGAAACCAAGTATAATGGCGTTTTTGTTTACCTTCTTTATTCTTTCATCTTTCTCTTTTTCTTATTTTTGACACTGGCTTGCGAACACCCACGCGGGTGTCGGTTGTTACGATTCGGCGGCAGTGACGACATTGTAGAAGAGGCCACGAAAGACGGTGGATGATACCGGTGTGTATTGAGCAAAGACAAGAAGAATAAGAAAACCCGTCGTCTCCGTGGGCGTTCGCTTCCAACGCTTTATTCCCACGGTGTTGGCCGGATTTAATGTGAACTCGCGCGCGAGCGAGAGAAGATTGTACAAATAATATTAATATAATGTGTATTTTTTTCGGTTTTTATTTATTTATTATTTTTTTACCATTCACTGTCGGCGGGTGCACGAACTCGCGTTATCGTTATTTTCGCTGCTGTAATATTATTTTACAATCGAGAATTATACTTTGCCAATGGCTTTTCGTTATAATCGTGTACAACACTTTTGCGGACGATTAACCGCACCACGAGACGATACTAATGTGGTAGGTATATTTGAGTTTGTAACCGGGAACCAGATTTTGAACTTATTGAAGCAGATATCCTTTTATTGAGCAATTATTGTATGGTTTTGTTTTGTTCTCTACCAGCTGTACTTTACAACTTACTTGTAACATTGACGTCTGAAAGGTTTCACTATAGGTTTGTTTTTTTGAAAAGACGTTCTCTTTCAAACACCAGTACAATATTGTATTATAATTTTTTAAATAAATGTCAATAGATAACACTATAATTAAACGTATTTTCGCGTAGGTACCGAAAGCAAACAGTTTGCTGTTAACCATTTTGGCGATGTTTTAATGGCAAAACTGTTAACTATTCAATAAGATGTTTTCACTTATCAGTAAACCGCTTTTCCAGCTGCAGTTTGTAATGTTTAGTACCTATGATAATGCAAAATCATTTTTGCGGTAACTGGTAAGCAAACAATCCTTATCAACTTAACATTATCAGCACATATCAGTAAACATGTTTTGTTTCGGTACTACCGCGAAAATTGATAACAATGTTATTTGATGGTAATTGAAATTTATATTTTTCTGTCCTGTAAAGTTGAGAAAAACAAGATAGCTGGTGGTGTTGCATCTTAAGCGGCGGTATATACATTTTGTAGAGAGCAAAAAATTGTATTCGAAGTGAGCTGCTCATCGTGTGAGATACCAAAAGAGTAAAGACACACCATACACTATTCAATGTACAAACGCATAAGACAATTTTAAATTTACAATACAAATAAACACTATTAACTCCTTGACATTAACGACTTAGAATTCAACAATATACTAGATTGCATAACGATGATAGTTTTATTTACTTAATTTGAATAAGAAAAAAAAAATCATTCGATTCACCGGGATAACCGTGCGAATTGTTGTGAATTAAATTATTGATTTTCTCACCAAGGTGCCGTGTCGATACTTTGCCTGGCACAAGTGGGCTATAACGGCAATGTTGTAATATCTTTATGGACAAAATATGTTAATTTTTTTAATGTTTTTTTTTTTTAATTACATGTTTTTTTACTTAAAAACATACGGAAATGCGTATAATTTTCAGCTTGTTTTATGTAATTAACAAATGGGCAAGAACCAGTTTTTTTGTTTATTTTTGACGACGTTATCGTAGGTATTTATCTATAATTTTTGACAGAGTAGACAAAGTAGGTGGACGACAATAAAAAATTATCCCGTCAAAATAATAACGATTAACGAGCAACGACTAAACCTGCGAACCTAAAGCGTATAAATTCACCATTGATATTCATAGTGCATACCATATTATAATATTGTACATGTACCTACCTAACTGGAAAAGGGGACGCCGACGGTATGCCACCCGCCTAACCTAGATTTCGAGTTGTGCGACGTCTGATATATTATAATAATAATAATAATAACCCAAGGAAATGCACGTGCTAAACCAGTCTTTTGTCTTTCTCCTCTTGGCCGCGGTTTCTTACCATACACCGGGATGAGGACATGCACGGATTGCGCTGTTTCACCAGAGGCAGCAGCCGCGGCACAAGTTGGGCTGTACCTACATAAAACGTGGGTTTAACGGTGACTGAACGCTATTATTACCATTAAGTATAATGTATATTATTGTTGTATCGATATAAAAATGTGTACACAATGGGAACGACTTATTTTACCTACTTGTCGTCGTCGTCGTTGTTTTTCTTACTCTTTCTCTTTTCTTATTATTGGGTCATGTGTTTAAATGTAATTATATTATCCTATAATGGGCAACCTTTATTATTATTGTTTATTACACACACCATGTAAGAATTCTGATAAGTGAAATTATTCATAATTTATAACAACATTTTTTATTTTTCAAAGACAATCCTCAGACGGTATTGTTGAAATTTTCTGCATTATTCAAGACGATAATTTAGTTGTCCCTTAAATCCAGCATTTTTGTTTTATTACTTTATTACTATGTAAATATGAGCGAATAGTCATTTAAAAAAAATTTAATTGGCAAGTGATAACCGTAGACAAATTATGCTACACACTCATCATCGCATTATATTACTTAAATGTACGAGATAGGATTTTTAAACGAGCAAAACAAAAAAAATTGCAACCTCGCAAATGTTAAGTACCGACATAATATATTCTATTTAAGTGGTTTATTACAATTCAAGAGACCCTTGAAGTCCGAAGGTCAATTTAATGTAAACCTAATATTACACCGTCTTTAAGTGGACATTACTTAAAAAATGAACATGTTGTCGAATACAAAACTGGTACCATGTATAGATTGGTAGTTAAGACTTATACAGCCCAGTCAGCTACTTACAGGAAATCTGTCATTCGCAATTTGCGCAAAATATACTAAGTACTATAAAAAAAACAGGAAACACACGTCTGTATACTTGCAATCGACGAACAAAACGTGTAAATGATTTTTATCACTTAGAATTATTTCGTGTAACATTAGAAGGGCTGCGGGAAAAAAAGATCAATGTCATTTTTTTTTGAAAATTACATTTTGGTATCAAATTATTTGTATTGATTTATTGTATCTTTTATGCGCTCAAACCCGGGAAAAATAGATTAGTCGAGAGTAACGACCGCCGGTAGTTTAGGCATACAGGCAAAATGTATTACGTTTTGAAATTAAAAACATGATTTTCTCAGAATATTAAAAAATTTACATTGATCTTTTTTCTCCGCAGCCCTTCATTTTGTATTGGTTTTTTAGTTATTTCTCGTTACAAAATTGTGGTATGTTTAAAAAAAAAAATAAGGTCTACTTCGGTCAGACGGATGGGGTTGGTCTTGCCGCAAATACCGTCTCACATGATATCAGATATGTGTTTTAGGGTAGAAAAAAAAAGGTTGATCTGATGAAAAACATGTGTATGTGCTAACCTTGGACAAGGACGACGTGATGTGTGGCGGAGTGGGCGCAGGCGTAGGCTGTTGGCTGCCTCGACCGCTGCTTGGCGACGGCGGCGGCGCCGCAGAGTCCGGCGATGAGTCCTCCGAGAAAAGGGTCTCGTTGCCGCTATCCATCTTCAATCCTCATAACCGGCAGCTCTAGAACATGTAAAAATAGGATAACATAAGTATACAAATGTATAGAATACATAGGGCTGTGTGAGTTTAGTTGGATATGAACTTTCCTAGCACCTGAAAAATTCAGAAATAAAAACTCTATCATGTGTGGTTTATAGTTCAAGTCAAAGTGTATTATTCCACAAACAATAAAGGAAAGCCTGTTAAGTCATTATATTTTTCTCAATTTAGTGTATATTTCGATAATTTAATAATTCAACAATAGTTTGGAACCATTCTTTTAGCGTTAAAACGGTTGTGTCTGTTAAAAGAGTTTTTTTGATTTGTTACACTTCCAAGCTGTTTATAATATTGTTTATTAATACGGCATCATTATAATTAATATTAAATGTATTGAAATATTATTATTAACCATTATACTTAAAAACAGAAAGAGTAAATTTAACCGGATGTGATTTTAAAACAAAATATCCTAATATGCACATGTGCTCTTCTAAAACCTTTTTTCCACTCCTTGAAAAGTTTATAGCCCATCGTGGGTGTGCGTGAAAAAGGGGTAATTCCACAACTAGAAACTTATGTACCTAAACATATATATATATATATATATGTATATAATTATTATCCATACATATATACACACACGGGCAACCGGCAAGTATGATAAACAAATGGGAGATCGCTTTCGTTTAATTTAATATGTTCTTTTTTTTCAGATACTCGAATTAATGCGCGCACACGCTCTAGCGTACTTTTATTATGATAATTATATTATTGTTGCATCACGGACGGATATCGTGTGGTCTCAGAAGTCGGTATAAGTATAAGAAAAAAAAACCGGACGGCCGGCCAAGACAAATAATAATTGATGGGTGCCATCTCGCGTTGTATAGAAATTTAAATATTTTATGTTTATGGAAGCGATCACACGGCACGTTAACCTCTCAACCCCACTTCCCCCATGTCTGAGACATTATGATAATAATATTATTATTGTTATTATTATTACAAAACAGTCTAGTCGGACCCGTGTCAAAAAACCATTAACCTATCCGCAAGGGTCGGCTGTAAAATCTCTCCACGTTGGCTTCTGGCAAAATCCTTCTAGTTAAAATGAATTATCTCAATATACGACCCATCGCAAGAGCCACACTAGTATATAATATAATACCTAAATATAAAAAAAACTAGATTGCCAAGTGTGCACGCCGCCAATAGAGATAATTTAAGTTACCATTTTCCGCCATCTTTGTGAGAATTAGAATTTTATCACGTGAACATATGTTTATCACAAAAAAGGCGGACGTCAGCTTGAATTCTTATCACTAGTTATCAATCTAGTTTATTGTATATATATCTATTAATAAGTATAGCAAAATGGATTGTCGTTTAAAAACTGAAAACATCGTAAAAGTTAAAAAAAATATAACCTATCGAAATATTAACAATTTTATTTAATACACTGACATATTTTTAATACGACTAACCGGCTAGGCAGTGTTCATTGGCTAATTGGTATTATTATACCTATGTTGAGTTACTACTAGTTTGTCGGTGCCCTTTTCAATTTTGAATTAATGCCAAGATGACTATTATATTTTAATGCCGGTAAAATATATAGTACTTAGACTGCGTTAGTCGGTTAGTTCACCGTGCTAGGCTGTTTCAATATTATTAATATACATATATAGTTTTATTACCTACTCTTTTGATCGTTAAGAGTTTTTTCTCGTACAAATCAATTTCGATTATAAATTTTCACTTTTCTGAATCGGCTACTGTAGTTTTCGTAGAATATCTTTATAGTTCGGAAGTCGTGTAATCCAACTGCAGTTATAACCATCTATCGCTATTAAGCCTTAATGTAAATAATAATTACAAGTTACTTTGTACCGAAAGCGGCATGGGAACGTTTGACGGTGCTCACGGGTCATAAATATACTGCTTTTGGATAGATTCGTGCCGAATGCATCATAATAACTATATATGATGAATTATATATTACAAACAGGGTTTTGAAATAACTGTTAACTTTTATAATGAAAGAGTTCTATTGTTCTAACTTACACTCTTTTGAAACAGCTTACGCAAGACATTTTTTTTTTGTTATAGGTACAGTTTTTTTGAGAACGTTTACTTTAGAACTTTTTGGCCAGGACTTTTATGTGAGAGTTTTTTTAAAATGAAAGTTTCACACTTAAAGATGTATGAATTAATGAATGGATTTATTCAACCGATTCCCTAAAAATACGCTTATATTTTTGAACTTGGCTGTGAAAATGCTGGACTGAAAAGTTTAGCATTTTCACAGCGGTTCTTGATATTAGACTTGCAAATGTAAATACCAATTATATATAAGAACTTATATTTAAAATGTTCTAGTAGGAACTTTTGTAAAAAAAGTGGTTTTGACATACATTTGTATGGAACTTTTTACTCAGAAAAGTTATTTTGATAAAAGTTCTTGAGAAACAGTTAAACCGGAACTCTTTAGAAAAAGTCCAATGTAAATGTTTCGTTTTCTGATTACAAACGATAAGACATTGTCAATTATTATATTTTATATATCATAATAACCATGTGCTTTATTATTATTGTTTATATTCGTACAGACGGCGCGTATAATTTTATTTCTATATCATATTTCTACATCTATTCTATATATGCGAACGAAGCGAAAGAGCTGTCGTACACTATAGTAGGTACGTCTTATCTGTATAATAATTCTATGTAGAATAGCATAGGAAGTGGATCGATTAAAAAAATAACAGGCACAGCGGTCGCGACGCTTTCGCCTCGGGGCTAGCGGGTAAAACTGAATATAATATCTCAGAGATATGATTAATTCGATTCGAACTTCTTTGGGCTATTGTAAAAAGTAAAAAAAAACCACCAGTTCTCCGTGTATGGCGAGCGGCAACGGAATCTTGATGGATGTATGATATCAAAACCGTTAGATCTCCACATTGCTGCGCACTATATGAGCGTTGGACGCTGGACAGAGGAGGAGTAGGTATAAGGTATAGCAATGGGAATAGGCACGATAGAAAGGAGACTTCTTAGTTAGACGATGAAACGTCACTATATATTGTACAGTAAAATTGTACAGAACTGAACACTAGTCGCCCGGATGAATTAGCACGGTAAAGTCCTAGTTTGTAATTTTAAAATCAGCCCATTAGGGGTGTTATTGCAATATTGTAAACCCTGGATCGAACCCCATAGACTAGAGTGCTAAGTGTATATGCCGCCAATATAGAGATATTTTAAGTTACCATTTTCCACCATCTTTGTGGGAATTAAAACCGTATCACATGTTTATAACTATTGAACTGCTATTGAACCGCACCTTCATACACAACATACATGATTTCAATGCGGTCTTCTCTAAAACGAAATAGTAAATAGTTCATTAGTCGTTGTACGTTGTTGCTATTTTCATGTCGAGGAAATATTATGTAGTTTGATAATACAATTATTATTACAGAGTACAAGAAAGCAGAAGAGTCAATGTAAAAAAAAGTGACGGCCATTCTGTAAAATGTTTTTTGTATAATGTTATACGACAGGGCACAGTTTTTCCAAAAATTAATAAGAGATAAGAGTTCTTCAAATTATAAAACAAATTTGTATTTTATTAGCATGTCTATACACAACTAACAATAATAATCTATAGATCTAAAATTATATTGGTGTACACACAGAACTTCGAAAATGGGCTTTATCAGTATCCCCGAGACAATCAATTACAATTACAATAATCTCGTGGAATTATATAAAACCTTATACACTACACGGTCTGTGTTAATCTGGAAAAATCTTAAATTAACGTCTGTGAAAAGTAAAACCGATTAGTTTCGCAGACACAATATGTAGCCAACTTGAACGAATGGTAGGTACGGTTTTCCGTTTTTTTTTTTTTGGTATCAAAACAGAGACAAAATAATAACGTTCAAAGTAAACGGACCGTTTCTTTTGCTTGAACAAAAAAAAACAGAAGTAAAACAATTGAAAGACTTGTGATTCATCTAGGTTTTTGTTGGCATTTCCGCCGTCGTTATTTTACATAATGTGCCAATTAGTATATAGCACGGTCATAGCTGTCACCGTGTCAACAGCACCTTATGAACGATCGCATTAATATTATTACAATGATCAAGGAAATTCCACATCGATGAATTCTCATTGAAGTAAAGCGCTTTTTTAAAATAGTTTTTCGTACCCTTGGCTAATTAGTGAAAAACATAGCTTAGAGCCGTCGCGTCGCGGTCGTTCAGACATTTTTAACCAGCATTATAGGGTTTCCGATGGAGAGAAATACCTAATAATTTTTCTTGAGTTGTTTTTGTTTTGTTTTAATTTTCAATTATAGTAGATACTGGCTTGTGGCAGAGTGAGATAGGCGGCAGTAAAACTGTCAAATCCAATAAATCGTCTTAGCCCCCCCTCCCCCAAGTGGTAGGGAACGGACGTTAAATGTGAAAAAAATATGTTTGAGCTGTTCGACAGTCAAGTCTCAAGTTAGTGTTACACGTGTCCTGTAGCCCCAGCTCGTAGGATATCTGGTGCCCTATATATTAATGGCAAAAGTGTGCAGGTCACAAAACACTAGTAATGTCTTAAATTATCACAGTATAATCGTTACAGAGCCTACATATTTTTTTAAAGGAAGCCCCGAAACTCTTACATTCTAAGCGAAGGCTACCGTGTGTCAGACAACCACTGGTTGTAATTTGTGTGTGTATGTGCACACTGCTTAACTACTTTTCAAGACACACTATGTATGTACAATGTACACATTATATATTATGTCTTATATTTACTATTAGGCGACTGTTTGCGTTTGTCGGCGGTTTAGGGTTATTACCGCTCTTGTAAGGATAACCCCTCTTTGCTAATTTCATGACTAATTCGTCATGACGTCAAGTCTAAACACAGTTTTATGTTTATAGCGGCGTTAAAGTGTCTTCAGACCGCCGTTATAATGGATAGAATGGCAATAAACGCCGGCATTGTTGCGC